GTTGGAATCGCATCTTGTAAGAAGTGGAAGTAGTTTCCTTTTTCACCCTGCACTCATTTCATTTCCGATCATGGAGGGGAAGGCTGGCGTTGTCCTGCAAAACTGCCTTCAGCTATCGCCAATCCAGCCCTTCTGTTTCAAAAGTAGCCTTGTTTTGGCCTTCATTTCTTCCTGTATCGTGGGAAATGTCATCCCCGAGTGCGATGTTTTGTGGCGCCCTGCAGCAAACCTCACTCACCTGCTGTCCCGAATACTGCCGCTGCCCTGTGGAACCAGGATTTGAAGAACACAATCAGATGAGAAGACTGGGGGGCACAGGGGCATCTGCATCCACGTGTGAGAGCCCCCAGAGGCCAGGAATAATGCGTGGGATTAGCACGAGTAATGGAACAGAAAGGGACAAATGTGATGGGCCGGGAGTTCTGTAATGGAAAAACCTTGACAAGGTGTACCTGGGAACAAATATTTCTGCCCCTGGGTTGCAGAACACTCCTGACTACTTTGTACGAGAATGCAGAAAGCTCTGGATATCTCACGTTATGTGCTCGGGTGTGGGAGTTGCTGGCAGGTTATTAACTGGGTGGAAAATTGCCAAAGGGTGGGATTCGGGGTGGCAAATTTTTTTTTTGGTGAGGACGACTAGCCCTGAGCTAACATCCAATGCCAATCCTCCTCTTTTTTGCTGAGGAAGATTGGCCTTGGGCTAACATCCGTGTCCATCTTCCTCTACTTTATATGGGATGCCGCCACAGCATGGCTTAACGAGCGGTGCTTCTGTGCACGTCCGGGATCCGAACCTGGGAACCCCGGGCCGCCCGAAGCGGAGTGCGCGCACTTAACCGCTGTGCCACCGGGCTGGCCCCTCGGGGTGGCATATTTTTAATGTTGCTTCTGTTGCTCTATCCTGATCCCCCAGAATCAGGAATGTGACAGATTGAACAGATCACTGGGAGGCCAGAATGGAGTCCAATCCATGTATTAGCTGTGTAACCTGGGGCAAAACACTTAACTCCTCTATGCCCCAGTTTTGTCACCTGTAGAATGGAGATATACACTCTCTGGCTGGCTGTGCAGATTAGGAGAGAAGACACTTAAACTGGAGCCCTGTGCTAGGCACACAGTCTGTGCTCACTAGATGGTAGGAGCTGTTGATTTTTACTGTGGGATTCATCCTTTTAAAAAAGTTTTCAGATGTATGATTGTACTTAGAATGTTGGATTAGTATTGCAAGAAAGTTTTGGGAAGTGAGGAGGGGGGAATAAGCTGCATATTTGAGATGACTGGGTGGGAACAGATAGTAAAGAGTGCTATTAATACTTCACCAGCATCAACATAGCATTAGTTTCATTTATCTTGGTATAAAAAAGAATGCATTGAGTGCAGTGAGCACAAAGATTCATCTGGAAGCGTCCTTCTAGCCCATCTGTGGTGGGCGGTGGGCATCATAGTGCTTGGTTTGTCCAGCAAGCACGTATTTCACCTGCTGTGTGCCAGGCCACGCAGCTGGGGCTCCAGCACAGGCTGAGCTGCAGGCGTTTGCCACCTGGCAGGCAAGATAAACACATCAGCAGGCAGTTTCAGTGTGGACTGTGTGACAATAGGGGTTGTGTTGGGGGGACAGGGGAGGGAGGAGCTGCTGAGGTCCCAGAGCCAGCACCATCTGATCCAAACACTTATGAGGAGGCGTTTGACTTCTTGCATTGATTTGCAGATTGCCAACATAAATTTTGTTCTAATGAGCAGAAACTTGGGAGACTCTGGAAAACATTCAGCTGGGCAAGCGGAGGCACATAGTAGAGGGAGGTGAGGGTGCTTACATTTGTCTCTTAGCAGAGGGAGGGGGCCTGTGTGTACTGAGTGCCTTGCTATGCGGCAGGAACCTTCTGTACTTCCTTCCACCTTGTCCTCACGGCAGCCTGGGGAGGCTGCTAGTTTCCTGGTTTTATAAAAAATTAACAGACCTGAACCTCGGAGTCCTGCATGTGTCCTAGGTCAGAAGCTGTGACCTCTAAGGACTCGACAGCACTGAGAAGTCCTTTACCTCTGCCCTGCACTGCCCCTTGCGCCCAGGCCTCGCCCCTGCCTGCCTCCCAGGCTGCAGGTGGGGACTTGTCCTGCATCTGTTGTGTCGAGTAAGAGGAAAGAAAACACCTCCTTGGGGGAAAGGAAAGTCACGAGTTGGCCTTGCTGGCACCTGCCAGGCTGGAAGCCAGCAGGAAGCATCTTGGCCCCTTGGCCGGCCTACATCCTCTCTGTCCACCTTTCTCCCTTTGATCATGTCTGGGAAGCTCCTGACTTCTTTGCTCCTGCAATATTGACTCTCCAATTTTCACTTAGATTGGGTGAAGATGTGAGCCTCTTAGTCATTTGAAGCGCAGACACTCAGCTGGTTGGGACACTTGATTCAGTTTGTTTCAGAAATGTTTTGAAATCCTACCAGCTGAATATACGGTGGAGTAAGGTCTGATCATCATAGGTCCGTGATGGAGGGGAGATCAAAAGGGGATGTTGACAACCAGAAGACACCTTTGCAGCATCTAGTCCAACCTCCTCGTTTTCTAAGTGAGGATCCACAATCCGTCTCCATGTCACACGGTATCGGATGAGAAGTGGGGCCCCTGGATTCGGGTGCAGGCTCTCTGCCACCACGGGGCAGGTGTGATCCCTGCCTGTCAGGTAGTCACTTACGGGTGTGCCAGCTCAGTGTGGATGGAGTTCTGAGCAGTGGCTCAAGGTCCCTGAGCTGACCTCAGCTTCAGAAGCAGCAAGGTTAGAGGAAATCTCATTAGATTGGGAGCTAGAGACCTGAGCTGTGTGGTTGCCCAGGACCCCTCCCCTTCTGAGCCTCAGTGACCTCATCCTTCATTCACCGAGTCTGCTCTTTACTTTCACACCATATTGTGAGCTCTTCTCCCCTAGCTCCTGCTCCCTGAGGGTGGCAATGCAGGCCCAGGGGTAAGCACCGTCCCCTGAAAGCACCTCCATCCCCACTGTTCATTCACATGTCCCGCAATTCCAAGCGCCGGCTGGCAAGAGCACCTTTATGAACATGAGTGGGTCATTGTAATCTTTTCTGCAAATCAAGAGAATCTACATTTCCTGGGTGACTTTGATTTTCAAGGCAGCCATCGCTCTCAGCCTGCTCAGCAAATCTTCTGAATTCAGAGTCTGAGTTCTGTTTTGTTCCTGCAGCTGGAGGTGTGTTTTTAATGCTGGGCAGAGGTGGGGGGTGCGAGTGCCTCCGACAAGTAAGAGAATTCATTTTAGTTCAGGGTTAAGTTCTAAGGCACTTCGGTGAGCTGAGAAAGATGAGCAGGAAACTTCTGCCATGTGTTGTGGAGAACTGGCATCCCCAGTGGAGGTGGGGAGGTCTGAAGGCCCAAGATACATAAACAGAAACTTGGCGCTCTCGCCTTGTTATCTATTTTCAGGAGAGTGACGCTTCGTTAGGATGTTAAAGGGACTTTCTGAGCCAAGCACATCAGGTTGGAGTGAGTTTCCCACGGCGTGCTGCTCCCTTGGGGACCCCACGCCGTGACTGACCACTTCTCCCTCTGCCCTCGTCTCTAGAACCTGGGGTTCCCCTGGCATCCTGCAGCGTTTCCCTTCCATATCTCTGCTCAGGATTATCTCCTGAATGAATGTCAGTGTTACTGTTGAATGGAAGGAAACTTGAGTAATACCTCCATGTGGCACTGCTTTGATCTTCCAAGTCTCTTAATGGGCAGCTTCAATGCAGAGAAACTGTAGGGTGAGATCTTAAATGTTTTGGATCCCAAAGGGGAAAAGATAGAATTTCTAGAACCTATTGTTAAAATATTTTTAGATTTTTCTCTGCTAAATTATACTGGGGGAAAAAGTCTAAATTTCATTCTGTATGACCCCTTTCAGTTCTTACACTACGTGTACACTTGCGAAAACACAGGACTGTCTGAATCTCTTTGTGATTGAAATGATGATAATGATATTAATGCATTTCTTGGGCCTCACAACTAAAATTAGCAGTAAACCTCATGTCTGTGCCCTTGGGGAATCAGAGTTACGGTCTATGGTTTCTTATTAAAAGCTCTCACTTTCCACCCTTAGTACCTCTCTCAAAAATTGGTGAATAATCAGGCTTCATGGAACTGAGTTTTACCCATACTTTGAGCATCATTAGGCAATAATAAAAGGACTTTTATTTCTTCCTCAGCCACGTTACTGTTTATAAATAATTTAGAAAGTGCAGACTTGGTGACCTGCTAGGTTTCAGAAAATGAAGACATTGAAATCAAACCTTCAACCTGTCAGAGTCAAGCTCCTCATGAAGAAATGGAGATGCTGAGAGGGAGGGACTTTCCCTAAGGTCACATGGCCGGCTAGGGCCCAGGCCCAGCCAGGACTCAGGTCTCTTAACTCTGGGCAGAGCACACCTTGCCAGAGTCTGTGAAGGAGCTGGGGGTGGGTGTCTGGAGAAGATCTTAGATTGTCATTTAAAATCAGAGTCATTGGGGGCCGGCCCCGTGGCTTAGTGGTTAAATGTGCGCGCTCTGCTACTGGCTGCCCAGGTTCGTATCCCTGGCGTGCACCAACACACCACTTGTCTGGCCATGCTGAGGCCGCGTCCCACATACAGCAACTAGAAGGATGTGCGACTATGACATACAACTATCTACTGGGGCTTTGGGAAGAAAAAGGAGGGGGATTGGCAATAGATGTTAGCTCAGGGCTGGTCCTCCTCAACAAAAAGAGGAGGATTGGCATGGTTGTTAGCTCAGGGCTGGTCTTCCTCACACACACACAAAAAAAATCAGAGTCATTGGAGTAAAGTCTTCTGTGACTTTTTGGGAATTCGGGTCTTCTCCAGACTACTGTAGTTATTATGGTGAGGAGGGGCCTCTAGGGTCATATTTGTGCCCTGGGAAAGGCTGAGTAGTTGTTATCTTGTTTGGGGGTGTGACTTGGGGAGCTCACAGAGATAATTGCTGATGCTTTTTTTCCTGTCCTGGCCCTATAGTTATATCAACATGCCCTCTTTCCTGTTGCTGGAGGCCATCCTCATTTTCCTGTTTGCCAGGGGTAAGTTTTTTTGTTGGGGGGTAAGGTGTTGAGGGGTTTGGTTTGCCTCACATCCTGTCAATTTTAATTTCCAAAGGTTTCTTGATTGCATCTGTATCTTTCCACTCCACGGTCACCTGCCTTGTCTAAGCCCCATCATCTTGTGCTTGGACCATTGCAGTAGCCTCCAGACTGGTCTCCCTGAATCTACCTGGTCCCCCTCCAGCCCATTCTCCACATAGCAGCCATTTGAAAATGCAAATCTGATCATGTCTGGACCCTCTCCACTCCCAGCCCCGGCCTGAAACTTTTAAGTGATGTCCCATTGCTCTTAAGAGGTCTGATCTGACCCTGCGCCACCTCAAATCCCTTCTGGTGCCTCCTCCCTCTGCCCTTTGTGCTGCAGCCCACACTCCTTCCAGTGCTGCCCAGCATCCTTGCTCCCTCCCACCCTAGGGGTTCTGAATTATGGCAGCCCCTCTGCCTGGATCACTGCCTTACTCCAACACTGCTACCCTGGTAACCTCCTATTCATCTTTTAGCACGTAGCACATTTCCTTCTGAACCCCCAGATCAGGTCAGATCCCCCTGTTAAAACCTACCGTAGCCCTGGGTCTCTCTGCTGTGTAGCACTTAACACAGACATGGATTTATTTCTGTGTGAATTTTTAAAAATTAGCGTCCATCTTCTCCACCAAGTAGGAGCTGCATGAGAAAGAGACTCTGCATATTTTATCTACTACTGTGTGATCTCGGCGCCTGGCACTGGGCTTGGCACATAGTCGGTGATCAAGAAGTAGATTAATGAATGAATAATGAAGCAAATCAATTTTCTTTTTACTTCCCACTTTGTCCCTCCCAAGTTCTAGCCTCTTTGAAATATGGGATGATAGAAAGGAGTAAGTGTGTTCTGTGGATTGTTGGCCTACAAGTAAGAACAGGTGGACTGCGTGACCAGCTGTCTGAGCTGGCTCAGCATGCTCTTGTGGACTCTGAGATTCTCTCTTGCAGGTCCTCCCTGGTCTCTGTTTCTGTGAGTAGGTGTACTCTCTCTGCTGAGGTGGCTGCTGTCACCACCTGCCTGGTCCCCAGAGCCTAGGAGAGATAAGAGAGGCTGGAAGAAGGGGGATGGTTGCTCAACCCACCTACTGTCCCCTCTCTGAGCCATACAGGTGGATAGTGTAACACGGTAGCTTCATGGCCAAGAGACTGGGGAGAAATGCATCGTGTTCGAGGACAGGGTCTAGATGCAGTCCCTAGAGGCCCAAGCACAGTAAAGTTTCTGTTCCAGCTCATTGTGGAACTTCACCTTCTGTGGCCCGTCCAGTTTACAGAGCACTTGATCTGACCATCCCCAGGTTGTGCAGATAAGGCAGGGGAGGCCCAGAGAGTCTGTGACTTGCCTAGAGTCACGCAGCTATTGGTAGCAGAGCTGGGATGAAAACCCAAGTCTCCTGACTCCTGGGCCAGTCCCACCACTCTGGGCTCCTCTGGGGCAGACAAGACTGTACAGGAATTATCTCCCTAAGCCTTGGCTCTCTTATCTGTAAACTGAAAGGGTCTGACTAGATTAGTGATTCTCAATCCTGCCAGCTCCTTAGCACCACCCAGCCCCCCAGGAGATTCAAGTTCTGGAGCCCAGACAGGTGGTCTTCAGAGGTGTGAGCTGACTTGGTTAGAAGAGGAAGCAACAATCACACATTCACTGGCTGGCTCCCTGTTCCAGGGGAACCTCTGCAGAGTCCTGAGGTGATTTCACAGAGGAGCAGTGGGGACGTTACCCAGACACAAGGGGCTCACCTGAAGCCTGGCACCCGCCGTAACAGCCAAGCACATTGTACAGAGAGGCACATTAGCTGAGTCACACCCTTGGTGAGTGGTCTCTGGTTACGGAGCTCATCTTTCCTCCCATCCAGGGGAGATGGCTGGCCTGCCTCCAGCTGGATGGTTTGCTGGTCAGACATTCAAAAAGGAACAGTATTTTCCTGCAGGGCCTCAGCGATTCCTCAGCTCCTGGGCCCTGTGTCAATAATTCGTGGACTCGTTCAGGAGACCTCTGCCTACCTGCTGTGTGCAGAGAGTGGGGCTAGGCTCTGTGGAGGACAGGTGGAAACGTTGCTGCCCTCGGGGAGCTTCCGGGGCAGCAGCACCACGTTACAGGATGGGCCTCGGGGCCCCACGAATTGGCAGGATCTTGATGATGTCTGAATGCAGTGAAGCAGAAAGCCTCTATTTTCTGGAAGACCAATTTCCTGAATTATTGAGTGATTTTGTGTTCTTCTGCTTTGGGATGTTTTTGGAAGTTTGCCCCTACCTCTATCCCAACCTCTGCCATTTTTTATGGAAATGGAAGATTTTTTTTCCCATTAATTCAGTCTACTCTCTGTATTTGTAGTTTATGTCTTGTTTCTGCCTCTGGTGGGAAAACGGCAGTGGCAGACTGCCCTAGACCTCATGAAAGATATTTGTCTGAAGGTTTTGACTGTGGTGCTAATTTCTGGTCCAGCATATTGGCCTAGAAGCATCTTCTCTGTGAGGAGAGACTGGGCGAAGGGCACATCAGGTGAGCGGAAACTGCGTGCCCAGAGACAGGGTTGGGGAGAACCTGCACTGGGGAATAGTGAGGGGAGAGGAGCTGTAGAAGGTGGAGATGGTGACTAATAACCTCCAGGGGGCCTGCAAATAAGAGGCATCCCCCCCCAGAACCCGACATCATCTTTGGTGTCCCCCTCCTAGTCACTTTCCTGGCAGTTGCAAATCCCCATGAGCCCAACAGGGAAGCGTTGTGATTCCCCGCCTGCCTCCCTCTCCTTTACCTCTTTCCCCAGCGGCCCCTAGGCTCACGTTCCTTCATCTGCCCCCTGCCTGGCCTGCTCCTGGGTGCTGCCCCCCCAACTTTGTCTCCTCTGTGCTGACTCCCTGGACACCGGCATTTATAAAGCATCGGCACGTGTTCTTCTGCCACCAGACATCGACCGTGAGCAGTTAGCGTTTCAGTTATCCCTCCAAGTGGTTCCCTCATCGCCTTCAGGACTTTCATCTTGGTTGGCTCGCCATTCAGCAATCCTGGGGCTTCCTTGGCATGTTACCCCTGCCTTCAAACTTTAATTTTTAAATTGTTATTGATTGCTCATGTACCATTATTACAATTTTACTGGGTATCATATAAAAGAACAAAAGATTTATCCACCAACTTCCTACCCCAAAACTCTTTGGCTGTTGTTCATAGTCATTGCATTGAATGAATATATCAACGTTTACTCATAGACCTGTCTCTCTGCATGTTTTCTATCTCCAGCATTCCTCTATCACAAATAACATTGAAGGAGTGGCTCCATGCACATTTTCCCTTCTCTGAAATTGTTTATCCTTTGGATCAGTTTCCAGGTGCGATACTACACGGCCAAAGGATGTAAGCATTTTTTTTGTGTGTGTGTGAGGAGCTCAGCCCTGTGCTAACATCTGTCAATCCTCCTCTTTTTTTGCTGAGGAAGGCTGGCCCTGGGCTAACATCTGTGCCCATCTTCCTCCACTTTATATGGGACGCCGCCACAGCATGGCTTGCCAAGCAGTGCGTCGGTGCGCGCCCGGGATCCGAACCAGCGAACCCTGGGCCACCGCAGCGGAGCGCGCACTTAACCGCTTGCGCCACCGGGCCGGCCCCAGGATGTAAGCATTTTAATGACTCAAAATTCATTTGGCCAAATTGTTTTCCAAAAGGGTTATACCAATTTACAGTGCCACCACTGGAAACGTTTTTCTTGATTTAATGTTTCCCCAATTACATTTAAATTTAGAAGTTGATCATCTAAATTTCACATTTAAAAGGGTATCTCATTGTTTGAGTTAGAGCGTTTTGTCACCTGTTTGAACATTTTCCCTTGTGCTTTTCTGTGAATTCTCTTTCTTCTATGAATTGTCTGTTCACATTCAAGGTTAATTTTTATAGCAAGGAGCTGCACCCCAGAGAGGCAGCCAGAGGGCAAAACTCGTCACAATCACAGGCTCTCTATATCCCCTCTGTATATATTTTTAATTTTTCTCTTCAAAATACCCACATTTAAATACAAAGATGCCTGATAGAAGTGGGGTGATTGGGGCCGGCCCCGTGGCGTAGCGGTTAAGTGCAAGTGTGCCGCTCCGCTGCTGGCCGCCTGGTTTAGGAGCGCACCGCGGCACCGCTTCTCCGGCCATGCTGTGGCGGCGTCCCACATAAAGTGGAGGAAGACGGACACGGATGTTAGCTCAGGGCCAGTCTTCCTCAGCAAAAAGAGGAGGATTCGCATGGATGTTAGCTCAGGGCTGATCTTCCTCACAAAAAAAAAAAGAAGTGAGTTGGGGTTTCTTTATGCTGTCCATCCGGTAATTTTTAAGATACAGTATCATTGAGCTCCTCCACATTCCTCTCTTCTCTCTTTTCACCTGTTCGGTCTGGTCACATAATGTGGAGACTAAGACTCCTCCTCCCTCTGCCTTGTAATGACTGCTTCTGGTGTTTTCTCTCCTAGTGCCCCCATCTGTCCCTCTTCAGGAAGTCCACGTAAGCAGGGAGACCATTGGGAAGATTTCAGCTGCCAGCAAAAGTAAGCCCGTGTTTTATGGAACCCTCTAAACGCCCATTTCAGCCTCTGCATGACCGACCCAAGGGAAGCCATGTTACTCCAGGCCATTTCTGCCCCACTCCTGTCTTCCTTTCATGCTGTGGCCGGAGTCATTTTCCCCAAACAGGGGCCTGACCAAGTCCTTCTCCTGGGTAAAAACCCTAGGTAAATCCCTGTCGCCGAATTTCTTGGCCCATGCTTGGAGGTCTTCCATGATGTGACCACCATCTACCCAACCAGCCTTGTCTGCTACCATATTCCTTCCTCTTCCACACTAATTAGCATCCCCTCTACATGCTCGAGCCACACCAGCCCGTTCCCAGGGGCCCTGCATGTCCCTTCCTTCCCCCTCTGGTGCAGTCCTCCTCATTCGCTGCCTCCTGGGCGGCCCCTTCTCGCTGTGCTTCTCTGACTTCTCTCCCGCATCTTCACGCTGAGGTGTAGGGCGAGGACTCTGGACCCAGACAGCCTGGGTTTCATTCCCGGCTCCACCACTTCCTGGTGCTTTGGCCTCAGGAAAGTTACTGAATTACCCTGTGCCCTGCTTTCCTCATCTCTCCAGTGGGAATAAAAATCACGAATGTACTTAGGGCTGGGGGTGGGGTTGGGGGCTGGGGAGCTGATAGCTAAAGGGTACAGGGGTTCTTTTGAGGTGATAGAAAATGTTCTAGAATTGAGGTGATGATGGAATGTATCTGTGAATATACTAAAACCTACTGAATTATATACTTTAAATGGGTTGGTATTATGTGGTATGTGAATGATGTCTCAATAAAATTGTTAAAAAATAAAATAGTACTCTGTCTCAGGGTGGTTGTGAGAATTAAATAAATTAGTACATCAAGTGTTTAAAGCAGCACGTGGCATATAGAAAAGATGCAGTCAGTGCTGGCTGTTATTACTTGAACTCTTGGGTAATGGGACCTCATGTCCCAGGGTGGCTGGCTGTGTCCTAGACTAGATTGTGGCCCCGAGGGCTGGACCAGGGCTCTTCAGTGGCCTCACTGAAGCCTCACTGGCCCAGTAGCCCCTCCGTTCATCCAGCTCAATTAGTATCGTCGAAATAGATTCTTCCATTATTACAAAGACTTTCACCTAACAGCCTGTTGATGAGCATCGTTCCCAAGGTGGGTGTGTGCTTTCTGCTGCAGAGGAGGGCTGTCTCTGGCCGGGACCTTCTCCAGTGTTATTTCCCCTGTCGTGCTAAGAGGAGCAGCAGCTTGACCCACCACAGGGTCATTTCTGCCTCCACTCTGCTTTGGGTGAGAGCCTCTTGGGACCAGACTGCAGGGAAGCTGGTGGCCACCGTTCTGTCCCACTCTCCCCTAGTGATGTGGTGCTCGGCTGCAGTGGACATCCTGTTCTTGATGGATGGCTCTCACAGTGTCGGGAAAGGGAGCTTTGAAAGGTCCAAGCACTTTGCCATCATGGTCTGTGACGCTCTGGACATCAACCTTGAGAGGGTGAGTACAAGTCTTGTTGTCTTTGTGTTACAGTGTCTCTGGTGGCAAGTGACAGAAATCCCCTCTTAAGTAGAAGAGGGCATTTACTGGCTTGTGGATCTGGGAAGACCAAGGGGGTGAATCCTGGTTCTAGACACAGTGGGATCCAAGGGCTCGATCCCTCTCTTTTTCTCTTCCTCTCAATTTTGCTTTCCTCGGTTGGCTTCCAGGTAGGTTTTCCTTACATAGAAAAGTTGCCCTGCATAGTCCTTCAAGCTAGGGATTCCAGTAAAAAGAAAGTGGACTTCTTTGCAGATCTGGCAGAAGTCCCTGGGAGGGCTCCGATTGGGCAGGCACAGGTCACATGACAATCCCTTGACCAATCACAGTAGTCAGAGAGAAGAGATTGCCTGGCTTGACCTGAGTCATGTCCTTATCCGTGTTCTTGGGGTGGGGGTGAACACCTGGATTTGGGTTCCCGCTAGAAAGAGAAGTTGCATTTGCAGAACAGTGGGAAAGGGAAAGCACGCTGGCAGACAAAAACTATAACTTCCAAACTATAACTATATAACTATAGTTATATAACTATATAACTTCCAAAGACTAGAGTCTTAATATGAACACAGCTCTTACCTTCTGTGTTCACTTGAAAGCACTACTCGTGCCTGAGTGAATCCAGGCAGTATGTTGATTTCTTGTTCTTCCTGGCTCCAGATAACAGGTCTTAAATATCAGCAGTGTGTTAGCTGTGGCTCTTGTTGCTGAAAGGGGCATTTTGAAACAACTCAATAGAAAAATAGGCAATGAACACAGACAGACAGTTTCCAGAAAATGAAACACAAATGGCCCCTAGACATACGAAAAGATGCCTAACCACCTCATTCAATGTAATAGCAAATCTCCAACTGATACACCATTTTTCACTTAACGGGATTAGCGAAAATCCAAAGTTTGGTGATATGCTCCACTGGCAAATCTATAGGAAACTGGCATTCTCATGCACTGCTGGTGGGAGTGTACAACCTCTCTTTGGGGTATTCCGACAATATTCATCAAAATTACAAAGGCGTGGACCCTTTGATCCAGCAATTTATTCTGCAGATACTCGCACAGATACAAAATAACCCACATACAAAGTTATTCATTGCAGTGTTGTTTGTAATTGTAAAAGATTTCAGGCTACCCAGATGCCCACTCACAGGGGACAGGTAAATCCATTATGGTGCATTCATATATTGAAATGCTGGGCAGCTGCAGAAAGTGAATGAGGAAGCTCTCTGATATGGAAAGACACCAAAACAAATTAAGTGTAAAAAGTAAGGTGCAAATAGTACATATGTTACTTTTTATGAAAAATAAAGGGAGATGAATAGAGTCTATGTTTAGATTTGCTTGTATATGCATGAAGAAACTCTGCAGGGATTTGTAAAAGGCTAAGAACAGAGGGGAGGGTGGGAACTGAGCAGATGGGGGCACAAGTCCAGGGGGAAACTCATTGATACAGAATTTTTTATACTTTATGGATTTTTGAACCATGTGAACCTACTCAAAAACAAAATAAAGGGCCGGCCCCGTGGCTTAGCGGTTAAGTGCGCGCGTTCCACTACTGGCGGCCCGGGTTCGGATCCCGGGCGCGCACCGACGCACCGCTTCTCCGGCCATGCTGAGGCCGCGTCCCACATACAGCAACTAGAAGGATGTGCAGCTATGACATACAACTATCTACTGGGGCTTTGGGGGAAAAATAAATAAATAAAATTATTAAAATAAATAAATAAATAAATAAAAATTTGAGAACGGCATTTTGGTCTGGAAAGCCATAATTACTTGAATTAGAGACTAGTTGCATACAGGTTGAGGAAGGAAGTGGTTTCCAAGATGACATTCCTGGATTAATCCTAGAAAAACCTCTAGGATTTAGGAACAAAAGTGGCTTTTAACGAGGGCCAGATTTTCTCCAGAACAGCATGTCATCTGGGGAGAGCAAGCACGTTACCCTGGGCCTCGGGCAGTCTTGCACAGTTATCCGAAGCCACTGTAGCAGATGTCAGTCCATCTAGGCATGAGCAGCCAGGAAGTTCTGATCGTGAAGTCAACCAATCACAGACTCTAGAAGGGCCTGGGCCCACGACTACTGAATCTGCACCCTCCTCCAAACAGGGCCTGCTTTTAAAAGGAAGTGATTCCCTGTGACGTTTCACTAGCTATTCATGGAGGAAGAGACATAAAGATCAAGCACTGTTGACCTTGGCATTGACGTAGTATGTCCTGAATGGGTGGCCTGGAGACCCCAGAAGATGGCAAGTTGGGAGAGAAGAGTTGTATGGATTGTTAGAGAATGTTTTACAGATGAGGAAAAAGGCTCAGAGAGGCTAAGTGGCTGCCCAGGGTCACACAGCAATCTTAGAGCTGTGTGTGGAAGAACTGGAGCTCTTGACTTTCAGCCCAGGACTTGCTCCATTAGGTCATTTGTCTCTCTCAGTGGGTAGCCCCTGGGCTAGGATGAGGTGGTGACACTCAGAATTCACACCCTGCTATCACATAGCTAGTGAACAGCTGGCAACATGGCATTGTGTGTGTGTGTGTGCGCGCGCGCACGCATGTGTGCATGGGTCTGTGTCTGTGTAGAATTCTATTAGCACCCTCAAAGAGAGGGTAAGAAAACCATGACAAAAAACTTTATGGCTGGTGCTGCTGGGGGCAGCTGTTTTGACCCACAGGTCCCCAGAGTTCAGTGAATTTAATCTCACTGTTACTGGACTACATCTAGGATGTGGCATTAAGTTCTGGAGGCTGATTTTTAGGTTAGATAATGGCAAACCAGACAGTGCCTACAACAGGGAGCCAGTACAGTGAGAGGCCTGGACACTTCCAAACATGAGGGAATCCAGTTATCATATTCACATGAAAGAGGGTGCACAGTGACTCTATTTTATTATTTTATTATTTTTTTTTATTTTTACTTTTTATTTTTTGCTGAGGAAGATTTGCCCTGAGCTATCATCCATGCAGATCTTCCTCTATTTTGTGTGTGGGTCACCACCACAGCATGGCTGCCGATGAGCGGTGTAGGTATGCACCCGGGATCCGAACCCAGGCCACTGAAGCGGAGCGCACCGAACTTAACCACTAGGCCACAGGGCCGGCCCCAACTCTGTTTTATTAAGAGGGCAGAATGTGGGTTCAGGGAGTTATATTTGGGCTTGACCTGAGAAAAACTGTATCACAGCAAGGCTTGTTGAGCAAAGGAGTTGGGCGTCTATTTCAGGGAGCCAGTGAGGGTCTTGACCTCCACAGTGCTCAGACAGACTCGCTGGAATGCTTGCCAAGGGTTTTTGCATCAGGATGACTTCAAATGGTTCAGTCTGATTTGTGGCTTCTGGTTTTATGTTTTTGCTGCTGCATTTTGGTATCTTCTTCTTGTGATCTCCATGTACAAGGGATTTATCTGTACCTTATTTTACTTCCTATAACTTTATTTTTCAGGAAGCAATTTTCAAGTAGCTATAAATTAAGGCTTTTTAGGGGTGCTCTGTTGTTGAGGTGAATTTAAGGTTTTTGAAGTCTTCCCCTCATCACTTGAAAGCTGAGCAGTTCACTTCCTGGCTTTAATATAATGATTGCGGCAGAGTGATTATAGTGTGGTGAGAAATCTGGGCGGGCTTGCTCCTGAGCGTACAGTCACCTGAAGATAAAAGGCAGCTATCTTGCTCCCAAACCACCAATTAAATTAAATGCCTTAACCACTGACTCAAGCTGTTTCCATCTTGTTTTGTTTTGAAGTTGTGTCCTTCCTGTTTAACCCAAGTAAATACACCCAGCTGTTGGTCTCAAGGGAGTTGTTTTTTTTAAACTAAGTAATTCATTCACATGGTTCAGTAAGATGTTCAATGAAAAGTGCCCCTCCTACCCACACATTGTCCATTTGCCCAGTGCCCATATCTGCTTCCTTGAGTATCCTTGCAGAATCTGCTTCATGCAAATACAAGCAATGTGAATATATATTCTTATTTTCCCCTTTTTTATACAAAAGGTAGCATGCCATGCACACTGTTCTATCCCTTGCCTTTTTCTCTTTGCATTATCTTCGAAGTCTTTCCATATCTAGGTTTATAGGTAATACAGGTATTAATATCAGTATATATTATTTTTTACAGCTGGTTAATGTTCCATCATAAGGATTTACTAAGGTTTAATTAATGAATCCCCTATGGATGGACATTTGCTGTTACAAATATCCTGTGAGCTTGTATTTCACGCATGTGGAAGTATGTCTGTACCGTAAATTCCCAATAGCCCCATCTATTTGTAATTTTAAATGAAAGTGGACAAATTACTCTCCATGGATGCTGTACCATTTATGTTCTTACCACCTATGTTTGAGGACGCTGGTTTCCCCCTGCAAACATTTGGCTTTTTGCTAAACTGATATAGGAAAATGGCAGCTCAGTGTGGTGAGGTCAAGCATCTTTTGTGTGTGTGTGTGTGTGAGGAAGATTGGCTCTGAGCTAACATCTGTGCCCATCTCCCTCTATTTCGTATATGGGATGCTGCCACACATGGCTTGATGAGTGGTGCATCGGTCCGAGCCCGGGATTTGAACCTGCGAACCCGGGGCCGCTGAGGCGGAGCGTGCGAACTTAACCGCTACACCACCGGGCCAGCCCCTCAAGCATCTTTTCATATATTAAAGAGCCATTTGTATTTCCTCTTCTGTGATCTCTGTTATATCCTTTGCCCATTTTTCTGTTGGATTGTTGGTCTTATACATATCAATTCCTAGACACTCTTTATATATTGGGGAAATTAACTCTTTGTCTCTGACATGAGTTGCAAATAATTTTCCATTTTGTCTTCATTTTTATTGCATTATGGTACATTTTGCCATGCAGAAGTTTTCTTCATGTAGTCAGATTTATCAGTCTTTCCTTTACGGCTTCTGGAATTTAAGTCATAATAAAGTCTTTTCCACTTTGAAGTTAAAAAGGAATTCTCCCAAGTTTTCTTCTAGAACTTACATGGTTACATTTTTCATATAAGTTTTCAAGATTACATGTAAATTACAAGATTTTCATATAAATCTTGAATCCATTTGCAATTTATCCTTTATTCTTTTGCAGATGGCTATCCAGTTGTTCCAACACCACATACTGACTATACCCTCTTTTCCCCACTGGTTTGAGATGCCCCCTTTATCACACGCTAAATTCAAGGGAGATTTCTGCTCCTCAGAAAATTCTTCCTGAGCGTCTCTACTGCTCTATTTTCCAGTGTCCGTCTCTCCTACATGCCCACCCAAAACTTAAATTTCTTCCTACTTAAGATGTCGACAGTTCCTCCTTAGAACTTCCTGTGGGAGGAAAGTCCAGTGGGCTGTGCTCACTGGCAGCAGATGCAGCTGGCTTGGTGTGGATGAATGCTTTGATCATCTCCCCAGGCCTGTTAGGGGATCAGCAGTGAAGGAATTCAAGGAGTGAGCAAAAGGCAGCATCATTGCCTAAATATGAGTCACTTGGCCCATTTGCAATCTTGGCCAGAATTGGGGTTAGTTATGAGAACAGTAACTAAGAATGTAGTTTCTCCAGGGGTTTTGGAGGGCCAATGATGAGGTACAGGGCTTGGGCCCTTGAGAGGAACCCTAAACGTTTATAGCCTTCTCTGCTCAAGACACGCTAGTGTCTCAAGCGTCCACAGAATGACTTGACTCAATTTCCTTTCTCCAGTTTTGCAAGGTGTTGAGGTTTTTCCTATGGCCTCCTTGAGTAGGATGCAGAATCTGTTTGGAATCACCACTGGCTCTCACGCCCTTCGCTAGAGGAACTTCAGCTCCAGTATTGCTGTCTCAGGTTAGGGTGTTGCTTGTCCACCAGTCTGACTCTGGTCTGGAGAGCTAGCCTTTCCCTAGCTTGGCAGGAGCAGGCCTGGAAGGGCTGACCCCCTAACCTCCAACCAAGGATGGGGGGTGTGGTGGCTGTTGTGAGTGATGAGCCACCGGTGATGGTGGCTGTGGTTGGCTTCTGTGGCACCCCCAGTTGGGTCAGCGAGGATTTTGTTGAAGGCCTGTGCTGGCTGCTGAGAAGAAAAACAGTGTAACTGAGCCTTGTGAAGATCGTAGACACCGAGTCCAATGGCCTGGCTCCCTTTCTTACTAGTCCTGGGCCAGATCTGTATCCTCTCTACATTTCAGTTTCTCCAGCACTAATGTGGGTATTAACAGAGCCTCTGTGGGTTAAATGAAATAATGTGTGAACACAGTGAAACAGTGCCTGCCCCTGGGAGGCATTCGGTAAATGTGAGCAGACACCCTGCCCTAAAGATGCTCAAAGCTCAGCTGAGAGAGCTGCCAGAATGTGGCTCAAGAAGATGGAATTGGTGGTTGTCAGTGCAGAACACAGGCGGATTTGATATTTCCTTCCAGATTCTCCTCTTGGTCTTTGGATCCTGCTTTTAGGGAGATTGGAGAAAGCACCCGCTCTGGTATTTGTTGAGTAGGCAGGAGGCAGCGTCGTTAACCTTTGTCCTCCCTTCTTTCCTCTTAGGAATGTTTGTGACTTGACCCCGCTCTCAGGCCCCGGGCCCTCTGTCTCTCACTGCAGGTCAGAGTGGGAGCCTTCCAGTTCAGTTCCGCCCCTCGTCTGGAATTCCCCTTGGATTCATTTTCAACCCAACAGGAAGTGAAGGCAAAAATCAAGAAGATGGTTTTCAAGTATGTACGATCAGATCCTGCCGTGGTTAGGATGAAACTAGCTGCTCTTAAAATTGTTCCCTTGAAGGGTGTGATTGGCCTCAGAGAGGGCTGTGGGCCGGCTTCCAGAAGCCCGGCTGTGCACAGTGGGTGATGAGAATTCCCTTCTCAAGGATGCCCTTTATTATTACATGATAATGTTCCAAGTGGGAACTTAAATGTGCTTAAAAAAGTAAAAATTTGCTGCTATTATGTGTAGTTGTTAGTTACCTGGGAGAAAGGACTAGTGAAGGTCAAGACTGGGGTTAAGAGTGTGAGGTGTTGGGAAGAACACTGCGTCCTTCTCCCAGTTCTGTCCCTGGTGACCACCATAGCTTGGACAGTTCACCACACTTCTCAGAGCCTCGTTTTTGTGGTCTAAACAGAGTAAGTGCCAAGCTAGCCCTGATGGCCTAGTGGTTAAAGTTTGGCGCTCTCACCACTTTGGTAGCCCGGGGTCATTTCCTAGTCACGGAGCCACACCACCCGCCTGTCAGTTGCCGTGCTGTGATGGCATCCCACATAGAAGGGCTAGAAGGACTTACAACTAGGATATACAACTGTGCACTGGGGCTTTGGGGAGGGGGAAAGAAAAAAAGAGGAAGATTGGCAACAGATGTTAGCTCAGGGTGAATCTTTCCCTGGAAAAAAAAAAAAGATAAAAAGAGTAAGTGCCCCTTTGTTATTGAGAGTGCTTTAAAAATGATGACTAGCTGTTTATGTGATCATACACATCCTATAAATATATGTATGTAGTAGGGTCATTACTTTACTCACATTACAAGTCAGCTGATATGTGTGTGTATATGCACATATGTGTATACATATATTTTGTGTATAAAGATTTTATATATGTGTATATTATATATACACATATACATGTATATGGATATGAATCTGTTATACACATACATACACACACACATATACACACAATGTTCTGTACAAGCCCTCACAGAAGAATGCCTTTACTTGCCAGCTACCACTCTGACCTCTGGATCCTCTTTGGTTTCTGCTTCCCCTTGTGCTAGTGTCCACTGAAGTCCTGCTCAAGTCTGTGGTCCCAGCCATTTGTGGCCGTCACCTCTGGTTGCAAAGACCCTGAGCTCTGAAGTCTGTTTCCCAGCCTCAGGCCTCTGTAGGTCCACCAGTGTGCTCACAAAGCCTGAATCCCCACACTGGGCACAGCAGGAACTTTGGGGGCCCTGCAGGCCCCAGGGACCCCCAAGGACTTTATTTCAGGCTATTTATCCCAGACTTTTCCTCTGGCCATGGGTGCCCTGAACAGAATGAGGGGCAGGTCAAATACAAAAAAGTTCAAAAGAAAAAGCACATTAATATGTTTTTTAAAACTTGTATTAGTATATACTGACCTTTCCTTGTTCCCTTGGAGCCTTCTCCCCTTGAGACCTCCAAGCATGGTTCCTATAGAGAACAGTCGCGGCCTCGCTCCTGCATCTTGGGCCCAGACACACAGAGCAGCACTTGTCAAAGTGAGATGTTTAGTCAGAAGATCTGGGTTGGAATTGCCTAGGGAGTATGTTAAAATGCAGGTGCCTGGACCCTCTCCCAGATCCACTGACTCACTCTCTGTGCAGTGACAGTTAATCTGCATTTTTGTTTTTCTTTGCTGAGGAAGATTAGCCCTGAGCTAACATCTATGCCAATCTTCCTCTATTTTACATGTGGATCACTGCCACAGCATGGCTGATGAGTGGTGTAGGTCCGTGCCTGGGATCTGAACCTGTGAACCCAGGCCGCCGAAGTAGAGCACACCGAACTTAACCACTAGGCCATGGGGCCAGCCCCTAGAATCTGCCCTTTATAAAAGGTCTCTGCCCTGGTCCCCTGCCCTAAGACTGTTACACTAATGTTTTTTAAGCAGCTTTATTGACATATAATTTAAATACCATAAAGTTCACACATTTAATGTGTACAATTCTGTGGGTTTGAGTGTATTTTCAGAGTTATGCAACTATTACCATAATCTAAGTTTAGAACATATTCATTATCTAGCAAGAAACCTTGTAAATAGACATTTCTCCAGAGAAGATATATAAACAGCCAATAAACACATGAAAAGATGCTTAACATCATTAGTCATTAAGGAAATGCAAATCAAAACCACAATGAGATACCATTTCACACCCACTAGGAAGGCTAAAATAAAAGACAGACGGTAACAAGTGTTGACAGGGATATGGAGAAATTGGAACCCTCAGACACTGCTTGTAGGATTGTAAAATGGTTCAGCCACTTTGGAAAACAGTCTGGCAGTTCCTCAAAATGTTAAATATAGAGTTACTGTATGACCCAGCAACTCCACTCCAAGAGCCTTGAAAACATATGTCCGCACAAAAACTTGTACACTAATGTTCATAGCAGCAGCATTTATAATAGCCAAAAAGTGGAAATAACACAAGAGTCCAAGAATGAATGGATAAAATGTGTTATATCCATACAGTGGAATATTATTCGGCCATAAAAAGGAATGGTGATGTGATTCATGCTACAATGTAGATGAACCTTGAAAACACGCTAAGTGAAAGAAGCCAGACACAAAAGGTTACATATTGTAGCATTTCATTTATATGAAATGTCAGGAACAGGCAAATCTATGGAGACAGAAAGTAGATTAGTCAGTGCCAGGGGCTGTGGGGAGGGGGAATGGGGAGTGACTGCTAATGGGTATAAGGCTTCTTTTTGGAGTAATGAAAATGTTTTGGAATTAGATAGTGTTGATGGTTGTACAACTCTGTGAATATACTAAAACCCACTGAATTGTATACTTTAAAAGGGTGAATTTTATGGTATATCTTTATTGTTATAATATTTTATTGTTAAAAAAGAAAAACACCTTTGTACCCACTATATACACACTAACATTTGCTGAAGAAAAAATAGGCTACCGGTTTAAGTTTAGGACTAAAAGTCAAAAACTATTTGGGTGACTTCAATTCAAATGACTCAGCCCTACTCTCATCTGAAAAACTAAGCAAACTGCAGTGAATTGGTACAAAAAGGCACTTTAGAGATCACCTAGTATCTCTTCCAACCCCTTATTTTACGAGGAGGATACTGAGGTTAAGAAGGAGTGGGTGACTTGGCCAGGACCACAGGTCACTCTGCTAGTCCAATAGGCCCCACCCAGCTGTCCTTTCCCATCTCTCCCCCTACCATCCCCTAAATAATTAGTTGATCCTCTTCTCAGCTGTGTTGAAAGTCATACCTAAGGCCTTGAGAGTCAGTTATTCATGACCTATGACATGTAGAGATGCATTAAGAATGTGCCAGATGAGGCCACAGAGGGTGGAGAAAGAAGCGTCTTAACGTGTCTGAACAAGGTCAGCTCTTCTTTGGGGGATGTGTGTGGTTAGCACTTGTGCGTCCTGTCTAAGAGACAGCAGACAAGGCAAGGAGGCAGCCGCTGATTTTCTGGCCACAGTTGCAGGGTCACCAAGGACACTAAACATTAACACACACTATTATTCATCAGAACAGAGGAATGTTGGCTGAAGGGAGGTGATGACCTCCCCACGGCTCTTTACCCTTTTTCTGTAGTGGAGTTTAAAATTCTGGACTGATGAGAACAGCTCTACCCAAAACCCAGAACACTTGCCTTTCCAGCCCAAGGCCATCCCCTGAAATCACCCTGACAACCACGTTATTGCTACTTTGCAATATAAAAAATAATACAATCAAACCTTCCAATATTGCACCCTGTGACAACATAAAATTGGAAAAAACATAGCCAGCAATTGGCTCCCGGATGCCTGGACTCCTGGCCAGGTGGCTGTGCATGTTGCTCGGTCATTGCTTTAATCTCACAATAACACAACTCTGAGTTTTCTGTGATTGAATTCTTTTGGATCCCATCTGCAGCTTTATCAGAATTTTACTGTATGTAGATAGCTCTACGGAAAAGGCACTCCCCACTTTGAGCACAAAGTCGTTTAGAGCCTTCTCTGGCCTCTTTCAAAGCACATTAACGTTTAAACAAAGCTTTTAGAATAATTAAAATCACGAAGCACTTTGCTCTTTTTTTACTTGATATTATGTGGTGTGTTTTTTGGTATAAAGCTGCATTGTTTTTGATGTCGATCCTTTTTCATGGTTATGTAATAGTCCAGTGAATTGAGCTATCACCATGGATTTAATCGGTCTCCTAAAAGGACACGTTTAGGTTGATTCCAGGATTTTTATCTATTGCTAAAACAAGAACAACAGCCCTATAGTCAACATCCCTGTATCTACAGTGAGTTTTCTTGTGAATTATTTTCCAAAGTCTGTTCCATGGACCAGCTGCCTCAGAATCATGGGGGCGGGGGAGGAGAGGCTGGTGTAGAACGTAGATCCTCAGGCCCAGTCACACGCCTGCCAGTTTGGACTCGCTGATGGTGGAATCTGAGAATCTACGTTATTACGTCTCCTGAGGGATTGTTATGCTCACTGGAATTTGGGACTAGTTCAAAAGATAAACTTCTTCGAACAGGCTGCTAATTGGTTCATTATTATAACCACCACTGATGGAGTGCTCACTAGGTACCAGGAGCCCCTGGGCACAGCATTGAATCCTCAGACAATACTATTACTTTCCCTACTTTAACAGGGAAGGAAACCGAGTCTCAGGTTTACCTGGCTAATATATCACAGGACTAATATATCGCAGGACTAACATCTGAGCCCATGTTCTTAAGCACCTGACTACACTGATGGCAAAATGTTTAGATTCTTTCCATCACCCCCAAAAGGGTCTACGCATTGCTGTGAAAACTCCCAAGACAGCGGTTGCTATGTGAACCTTTGCTTTCAACCTAGTTTTGTCCGTTTGAGAGAAATTAGAAAAATCTTGGTGAGACTCTGGCCTCAGACCTCCCTGTCTGTAGCTAGACCCTGAGCTCAGAACAGACGCAGATAGAAATACTCCGCGGAATAAGGGAAGTGCAGGTAGCAGTGTTTCTTCTCATTTCCCAGGGTTCAGAAGCTGTTAGGAATCTCACCTGACCTTGGTCAGAAGCCAGCAGAATGTTCCACTGGGAAAGGCCTGTCAGGATGAGAGATGGAGAGGGTGGATGACACAGGCATTTGTGTGTTGAGTGATATGAAGTGTGGACACCACAAAGGCTAGTGGGGTTGGTGGCCTGGGCTCTCGTGTCCTTGAAATTCACTTTCTCTCTAACCACAGGCTGGTGGCTATGAAGAGGGAGGCCCAGACCCACTCAGAAAATCTGGATTGAAAAGGAAAAACAGAGTGTAACTCTGGAGGAGAGAGGGCAGACCTGCTTGAGAAATGGGAACTGTCATGGAAAACAAGTGCTTTTTTTCGGTCCTGAAACTTTGAACCTGCAGGAAGAGAAGTGATGATCAGATGGGCCAGGAGGGAGGGGATGCTTTGAGGAGAGAAAGCCAAGTCTGGCTGAGAAACTAAGCGTCAGGACCCCAGCCAGGAGGCGAATGGGCCGCACTGCCAGGGTAGAGGCACAGGGAGCTCCAGGGCCACTGGGGCGCCTTGGCTTCTGGTGGGAAGAGAGTTTTGTGACCATTTAGGCAGAACAGTATAGAGCTGGGGCGGGAAACTTTTTCAGTAAAGAGCCATGAGGACTTATTTTAAGCTTTGCAGGCCATATTGTCTACATTTCTACATTTATGTAGAAAGAACATAAATGAACAGTGTCTGTTTCCCACACCCATTTGGTCCACAGGCTGTAATTTGCCGACTCCTAGAGAGGAAAGACCATTGGCTTTGGAATCAGTCTGACTGGGTTTAAAATCCGGTTCTGACCTCCGCTCGCTGGGTGAGAGGCAGGTGACTTGACTGGTTGTGTAACCTCATGGTTAAGAACTTGGGCTCTAGAAGTGGAGGGTCCAGGGTTCAAGTCCTGCCCCCACCACCCATGAGCTGTATGACCTTAGATAAGGCGCTTCTCTGAACTCCCTGTCTCTGAGAGCTGCAATGAGAACGACATGAGCTAAGCACCTTTATACACGCACATGCACGCACGCACACACAGACACACACATTCTTAAGCACAGTGGTGCCTGGCACATCATAAGTGCTCAGTAAATATTAGCAGTGGCCATTACTATTCTCTGAGCAGGGGTTTCCTCGTCTATTAAATGAGGATAATGTTAGCACCTTTTACTATAGTTTTAAGGATTATATTCAGTCACAGGTAGGTGACGTGTTTGGCACAAAGCGGAAGCTCAGGACTAGTGTTATCCCTTAGGAGTGGGAGACAGTCTGCCCTTCCAGGAACCCTAGAGTCACACTCTTTGCAGACACACGAGCTTTGGTGAAGGCAGTGGTCTTCACGGGAATCAAAACCCCCTTGGCTGTCTTCAGTATCTAACATGCGATCCAGCCCAGTGTGAGAGGAGTTGGGGGCATCTCTGTGATAAGCCCATTGCCCAAGCCAAGCTCTGCTCACCAGCCCTGGAACCCAGCTGCTGTTGCTCATACCCCTTCCCCTGATTGGAATAGCCTCTCCTTTCCTGGTCAGTGGATTCACCAAGACCCCATTCAGGCACTTTCCCCTCTGAAGCCTGTTCCCTAAGAGCTCCTCCCCACAGTGAACCCCTCCTCAGAACTCTTCTTATGTGTGTCCTTTTGTTGATATTTATTTGCTACCTTGTAGGTCCTATTTCTTCAGCTAGACCAGGAGTTCTCTGAGAAGTGGGAGCATGTTATACTTCCTGGTCTTCCTTCACTATCTTCCATTTATTGGGTCCACAGTAAATTCTAGTGGGTTGAAAATAGTAAGTGGCTTTGTAATTGATGCAGATGCCGATATATATAGTAGACTAAAAATCTTAATTCTAGGAGTTGTCCATTCTTGTTGACATTTATTAACTTAATGGATCTCCACAGAGAATTGCCCTTTAAGGATTCACTTAAGATAGAAAGCATAGCAGTGAAGAATATTCTAGGCCTGGTCCATAAATTCTTCCTAAGCACAATTTCCCATGCTCTTTCCTCACCTCTCTGCTGAATGGAAGGAACTTTGAGGACTGAGGGGAAGGTGGACCCACAAGATGAAAGGAGCCTGGATCCTTGAATAGCTACTTGGAGGAAAACAAACCAGGAGTGATGCCTGGGCAGGAAGACTCATGTCAAACTTGTATGAGAAATAAACATTTTTAGTGTTAAGTTAAAAAAAATACACATACACACATTCACACACGTATACATATGCATTCACACACACACATACACACACACAAAGAATGCTGTGCTTCTTGTCAGTTGGATGTTTTCACATTAGAAGAATGACCGTAGGCTCCTGTGAGAGGGCTGAATTAAAGGCAGGCATTTCCTTAATTTATACTCAGAGTGCAATCTGAGAATAAATGTGTTGCCCCTCCTCACATCTATAGTCTGTGATTAATCAGCATTGGAGAATGATGATCTAACAGGGTTCTCTCTATGCATACAGTTAATATCATGGTGATTCCATCAGCCTCCACATTGTTGCTCATGTTCGGATGTGTTACCATCCACTGAAAGGTTTGGCCTAAAATCCATTGTAGTGAGTCATTATTTTCTGCCCAGTTGACACTCAGAGCTGGCAGTCCTCCCTCTGAGGATATTTGTGTGAGCCTCCTGTCGAGAGATTTAGTAGAGATTCTGTGCTGGGATTCCAAGCTCAATGGATAGTCCCTATAACTGGGCTGTGAGGATTGGAGAATATTAGCATCTTGATGAGATGGGACCACTATAACCTGCCCTCATCTGGAAGTAGTCAAACAGTTCAGTTTCTAGCACCCAACCCTGAACTTGGAAGAAAGGCCTTATCATGGCAATGACCCTCATCCAGACCCTTGCATCAAAGCCTTGTCCTTCACTCTCATGGATTCTTACTAAGCTCAGTTATCTGCTTTCCCACCCCAAGGAGATGTTGAGCCGTAACAAGAAGGGAATGATACAGGGATGGGGAGATGGGAGGCGAGTGTTTGACAAACGATGAGAGGTGTCGGCCCAGAGCCGTCACTGGGGGAGAGAAAGTAAGAACATACACATACACAAAGAATGATATTATTACATAATAGAACAGAGATGCACAGGGTGAATCTTGGGTCCATGGGAAAAATTAATTTCTGTTCATGATTGTGGTTTAGATGGTGAGAAAGTGCATATCTCATGCTGGAATTGTCACTTTGAGCATCTGCTGGGAGAAAGCAGCCATCACTAATACTGGAGGAGCCCAATGTTTCAGGCTCTCGTTCCAACTTCACCTCCTGGATCACTGACCTTTTCTTCTTTGTTTTCTCCTTCCGGGTGAGCTCAGAGGAGGGCGCACAGAGACAGGCCTTGCTCTGAAATACCTTCTGCGCAAAGGGTTCCCTGGGGGCAGAAATGCCTCTGTGCCCCAGATCCTCATCATCGTCACTGACGGGAGGTCCCAAGGGCATGTAGCACTGCCAGCCAAGCAGCTGAAGGAAAGAGGCATCACTCTGTTTGCCGTGGGGGTCCGCTTTCCGAGGTAAGAGATTCGGTCACTCTGGGTGGGCCCTCTGGGTTGGCCCGGGGACCGTGGTGTGGCTGAAAGACCTCACAGCCATGGGAAGAGAGGGGAGCTGGAAAAACCATCCTGGTCCTTCCAGAATCTGTCTTTTCTGCACTTTGCTGTATTGTCCCGGAGCACAGGGAGCTCCGTGTCTTTGGAAGTCTGAGAGTTTGCATTGTCTTTAGTCTGAACACTTGGTTACGAGTGCCAGAAACTTGACTCAAATTTATTTGGGCAGAAATGGAAAGTCATGGACTCGTCTAACTGCACTGGCTGGGTCAGGGGTCCCTCCGGGTAAGCAGGAGCCAGGGACTTCAATGCCATGAAGATTCTTTCTGTCCCCTGCTCGTCTCTGCTGTTCTCTCAGCTGGCTGGATCTCTCTGGAAGCTGGGACTGTGCTGCTGGCAACACCCAGCTCCCATCTTCCCAGCTCCACCCTGGAGAGAAAAGACTCATTTCTCCGGTTTCAAGTGGAATAATCCAAGAAAAGATTCCGATTAGCTGAGTCACAGGCCCACTCTTGAGGCCAGCAGAGTGGGGTCTGTGACTGGCTGCCCCCCTCCAACCACGTTTCTCCAGATGCTGGAATACTGCTTCCTAGAAGAGAGGGGGGCACAAGTCCTCAGTGCTCTCAACCCTGAAAATGAAGGTGACCTCTATAGGCCTCTAGTTGTTGTGGGTATTACCTGAAATGATTCTGGTCTGGGCACTGTGCCTCTACGTAGAAATCTCTTTCTCAATTTTAGTACATTATTTATTCTCTCAATCAATAAAGATAGGTTGTCTTCCTCATGCTATTCTAGGTTCTCAGGATACAGAGACAACAATCAAAATCCCTGCCCTCGTGGAACTTCCATTCTAGGAAAAGAACTAGATAATAAACAAGTGAATGAATAAACAAGTAATTTAATTTCAGGTGGAAATAAAATGCAAAGGAGAAAAATAAAGTAGGGTGAGAGGTTACAGAGTGATGGAGAATAGAGAGGATAGCTAATTTAGATAGGGAGGGCTGTCAGGGCTTCACCGAGGAGTGGATTTTTGAGCAGAAACTTGAGTGGAGTGAGGAATAAGCTTTCTGAGTTTCAGGGAAAAGAGCCGGCAAGGCAGGCGGATGGCAAGTGCAAAGGCCCTGAGGCCGTAGCTAGCTTCCTGTGTTATGGGAGAAGCAAGATAGCCAGGGAGTGGCTGGAGGCCAGCAAGCAAGGAGTGAATTACAAGAAATAAGGTAGAAGAGGTGGGCAGGAGTCAGGCCTGGAGACTTTGTGGGTCCTAGTAAAGACTTTGGAGTTTGTTGTGAGTAGGTGGGGACGTCTTTGGAAGGTTTTGAGCAGGGAAATGACATGAATTGGCTTACATTTTTAGAAAATCACACTGGCTGCCAGGTGGATGGTGGGGTGGGGCAGAGGGAGAAGCGATAATGGGGGAGGTGGAGACACTAATTAGGAGGCCTCTGGAGCAGCTCACACGGAGATAATGGTGGCTGGTAGTAGGGAGGCGGCTGGACTGCTGAGGGAATGGTTGGACATAGGATTTGTTTTGAAGGCAGAGAGTGGAGTGGCTGGTGAATTGGATGTGGGTGTGTGAGAGAAGAAGAGAGAATTTGGGCCTGAGCCCCAGGGTGAATGGTGGTGTTATTTGCTAAAATGGGAAAGACTGCGAGTGGAACGAGGGAAATTGAGTTGTTTCAGACAGATCAAGTCTGAGCTGCATATTGGCCATCTGAGTAGAGAAGCTGAGTAGGCAGTTGGATGTAAGAGTCTGGGGCACGGGAGAGAGGGCAGGCAGAGAGACTGAAATTGGGGGTGGCATGTAAACCCTAAATAGAATCAACTCAGGAGTGAGTGCAGAGAGGATGACGGAGGGCCAGCACGTGCAGGACAGAAAGAGGAGGGAGACAGAGGGAAGGAGACTGAGGTGCCGCCAGCACCACGGGGATATCCCGGATTGTGCCGTGTGCTGCTGGCAGTGATGACTGCCACCACCATCATCATCGTTGTTGTTGTCATTGCTGAGAAGTTGGTATTTAATACAGGCTGCCCTTATTGTTGGCTCTTTTGTGAGGGACCTTGCTTCCTGGCTCTCTGCCCACGCAGTGCCGAACAGAGTGCCTTGAGCATCACAGTTCAAAGGTTTGTCAGTGAGGATGGAATCCACCACATGCTGGAAATACATGGACCGTTGCGGGGTTTCTTCTCCAGCTGCTGGCTGGAGCAGTGCTTCTCAGACTCTCTGTGGTGAAGGTCCAGTTTGTTTTGTTTTTTCCTAATCCATCACAGACTGACACTTTTTAAAAATACAACAAAAATGAATTACTAGGAAAGTGAAATAAAAAACAGACAAAATATAAGCTCAAATGTTTATTATTCAATTCAGCAGACATAAAATGACTCTGTCAAGTTATTGTAGGACGAGTTTCTGAACGCATACTGTGTCTGTGCTTGTCTGGGGTGAAACAGTTTGGGGACTTGCACAGGCTCACAGACCGAGCTTGGATCATCCTTGGCTTAGAGAAATCAAGAAACTGTGGATCAGGAGAGCGGGCATTGCTCAGATCTGAATGGCTTGAGCTGCAGATACAGGAACCCTCTGAGAAAGCCTGTTGAGCTCCCAAACCCGCCTGACCCCTCCCCACACTCCTAGTAAAAGGCTGGACATTGTTGACCATTGGTTCTCAAAGTGTGTCCCCTGAGCCAGCAGTATCAGCATCACCTGGGAACTTGTTAGAAATGCTCACACTCAGTCCCCACCCCATTGAATCTAGAACTCTGGGGCGAGGTGCCTCAATCTGTGGTTTATCAGGCCCTCAGTGACTCTGATGCCCACCAAATTTGAGAACCACTGCTGTGGGCAGCCTGAGGCTCTGTCTGACTCTTTCCTCCTTTGGGTGTTTATTGAGACCGTTCCCTGATGTAACTTCTCTGCTGGGGGCCGGGGCAGGTGGGAGGAGCTGCACACACTGGCCAGCGAGCCGAGGGAGCAGCACGTGCTGATGGCCCAGCAGGTGGAGGATGCCGCCAACGGCCTCTTCAGCACCCTCAGCAGCTCCGCCATCTGCACCATTGCCTCTCCAGGTAAGAAGGTCCAGGCTGGGAGGGAGTGGCCTTCCCACATGGAAGTGGGGTGTGGGGGGAGGGGTTCCCCAAGGCAAGAGGTCAGGCCTCAGGAGCCTCCCCAGGGAGGGTGGGCAAGTGGAATGGGGTCCAGCAGCCTCGTCCTGGGGTGCTTTGCTCTGTTCTGCCTCCCTGTGCCTGGCCCTGTGGGTCTCTCAGCTGGAACCCTGAGCTTGTCTCCATGGGGTAGAGGGCCTAGGGCTTGGGACCCAGATCTGGTGGGGCCCTATGCCCGAGCAGGTGTGTCCCCTGCTCGGGAAGAAGAGCCAAGTCAGCTCCCCACCATAGTCAGCACAGGGACACTTCGGCTTGGGGTGACACCCCTGCATTCCTAGGCGTCTTTGTCACGGCCCACCCAGGAGCTAGAGTGAGGTACATTACATAAAACACACACGCGTGCACAGGATGTAAAAGCTGTGTGGGGTGGGCCCTGTGCAGAGGAGATGCTCAGAGACTGGCTGCCCAGCCAACAGGCAGAGCAGGGCCCGCCGCCCCCCCTCCGCCCGGTGTGCTCTGCCCTGAGAGGCAGAAGGTAGCCAGGCTGAGGATGGTGGAACCATGGGTGGGGAAGGAGGCGTAACCCAGTCTTTTCCGTCGGGTGTGCGCTGCGGACACAGACTGCAAGGTCCAGCCTCACCCCTGTGAGCGCAAGACTCTGGAGACCGTCAGGGAGCTGGTCGGCAACGCCCTGTGCTGGAGAGGATCTCGGGGGACCGATGCCGTGCTGGCCGCGCTCTGTCCCTTCTCCAGGTTTGTCCACGAGGTCTGGGGTCAGAGCCTGAGGGCACAGCCTGGGTGGGGATGGCAGCCCCCAAGGCCGAGCGCTCACGAGCTGCAGGGAGAACAGCTCTTTGGGGCCTTGGCTGTGGAGCGTGTGACAGGGATTGGGGGAGACCTGGGAGGGAGCCAGGGACAAAGCTCTGGGCACACAGGCAGGGTCACAGCTACTAAGTGTCAGAGTCTTGTCGACACACTGCCCAGGCACCCAGGGTGTGTGAGGGTGGCAGGTTCACCACCTGGAAAGCTGGTAAATGAGCCAAAAGCTGATCCCACAGGCCAGTGGTCTGCACTTGGGATAGTGGTCTCGAGATTGGTTCCTCTCAGCACCAGTTTCCACATTTATGGGGGCTGAGTGAGACAAGAGGCTTAAGATCTTTGGATGAATTCCAGTTGTGGAGGCCGTGGGGGATGCTGGATTGCTCAGGACCAGAGCTCAGGCATTCAGGACCACCTGCTGCCAGGCCGTCAGCCATTCGCTTGCAAATCCCTGACCATCCCTTGGCACTTTATCCAGACTCCCCTACCTCTGACGCAGCGCCTCTACCCAGCAACTGGTGATCTGGCCTCTCGCCCTTTCTGGAGGGCCAAGGTGGTGTTTGGACCAGTCGCATCTTTGCCCTTGGCCTGCCCCCAGTGATGAGATCAGAGCACGCACACAGCGATGAAACGGATTGGCCGAGAAGCCGTGAGGGCCATGCTGGCCGATGCAGAGTCCAAGGCCAACGTGGCAGGGAAGGGCCATGCCCTGCACATGGATCAGAGGAAATGGGGCCTTGTGCCACATCAGAGGCCGCTAGAGGCTCTTCAGCACCCAAGGTTTCAAGCGAAAGGAGGCGATTCTTCCCTCCCCAGTGAGTGTGTTCTAAGTGCCCACTTTGAGCCGGGCAGTGTGCCATCGCTGCCCCCAAGAAGCTTGTGGTTTAGAGGGGGCATTGACAAGCAGACCAGTGACCACCCTGGGGCACCCCAGGATGGGGACGTCATGGAGAAGGGGCCGCTTGAGCAGTCTTGAAAGATGCAGGGGAACCCGGCGGTGGTGGGCGGAGGCGTTCAGAGCCGGGAGCCGCGAGGAGAGGCTGGTGGGCAGAGAGTACACTCAGGGCTTTGTGCTCGGACTCTGGAAGCAGGCTGCTGAGTTTTTAATCCCACTGTCACCACTAAGGAGCTGGGAACCTCCCACTGCCTGTGTCTACACTGGAAAAGGAGCATGGTAATAGTACCTACTCTACAGGGTTGTGGAGAGCGTGTAGCAAGTTAATATGTAGGATCACTAATGTTGTAGGCTCCTAAAGTGATGCCTGCGTGTAGTAAGCTCTTCGTCAATTCCCTCCTTCAAGAATACTGAGGTCCCGGGAAATCAGCCTGAACACCGCAGAAACAAATCTGCCTTCACGAACTGACACTCCAGTGGCAGGAGGCAGCAACAAACAAAACGGATACATAAAATAAACTGTTAGGTGGATAGGTGCTATAGGGAAAAGGGATGGATCAGGGTGGCATAGGGTTGGAATTTCAAATAGAGTGGGCGGGGGGCCTTGCAGAGAATGGGGCATCTGAGTCAGACCTAGGGAGGTGGGGGACAAACCAAGTGCAGGTCCAGGCAAAGGCCTGTGAACAGTGTCTGCTCCAACAACACCGATTCCGGTGCAGGCCTGGGGTGGGAGATGGGGCCCACGGAACTTTCTGGGCTAGGACTTGTGGTTTCATGAGGTCACTAGGAGGAGACATGGAGGGGAGAAGATTTCTCTTTCATGAGCTGGCAGCTTGGCAAACCTCTGATTTCATCAACGCCTGGAGTTCGTGATGGCCTGGGCTTTTACCTTCAGTAGATGTTGTGCCCCAGGAAAGACCCTGCCCTAGAGGTGAGCCCAGTGAGCCTGCCTCTGAGGTGGGCAGCCCACGGTGGGATCTTGTTGGAAGAAGCCCTCTTTGGGAAGTTTGAGAAAGTTTTTGCCAAGGCCCAGAGGGGAGAATCTCCTTAGGGAGGTCATCTCTGGAGCTGCTGCCAACCAAGAGGAGGGCTTTCTGCTCACGGGATGAGGAGCCGCTCCTGCTGCAGCAGAGCCCTTCCCAGAGATTCAGGAGAGACGGAGGCAAGGTGCAGAGGGCAGAGGGCACGGGCTCTGGAGTCTGATGGTAGGGTTTGGATCCCAGCTCTGCTGTGTTCTAGTAACTGGATGACTTTGGTCAAACAAATTCAGCCCTCTGAAGCCATATCCCCATCTGGAATATGGAGATAACTGTCTCTTCCCATAGATGTGGATTCAAAGTAATGATGGGCATACCTGGAGCCTGGAAACCACCACAGGAATGGTGGCCCTCGTGTTATCACAGAATGTTAGCTCAACGGACCTGAGAGGTCATCGAGTCCGGTGGTTTGCAAATCCTCTTGAGCTGCAGAGCCTTGTATGGACATTTGTTTTGCAGACCAGAAAAAGCAGATTTGGGGTGAAGGGGTTGGGCTATGGCACTGTGGGAGGCCGGCACCCTGGCCACTCAGTCTCCTTCCTTCTCCATTGAGGCTCCAAGGAATGCAGTTGAAAACTACAGATAGAGTTACTATACAGAAGAGGGAACTGAAGGGCCGGCCCTGTGGCTTGGTGGTTAAGTGCGCGCGCTGCGATGCTGGTGGCCCGGGTTCGGATCCCGGGTGCGCATCGAGGCACCACTTCTCCGTTCATCCTGAGGCCGAGTCCCACATACAGCAACTACAAGGATGTGCAGCTACGACATACAACTATCCGCTGGGGCTTTGGGGGGAAAAAATAAAATAAATAAAATCTTTAAAAAAAAAAAAAAAAAAAAAAAAAAAAAAAAAAAGAAGAGGGAACTGAAGACCAGAGAAGGAAAGTAACTTGCCTGGGGTCACACAGCCAGAATCCAGTTGCCTAATTCCCAGTATTTCCCACCCCACCCCCACACTGCATTGTGCCGGTCCCAGAAAGTAACTCGTAATAGAAAGCTGTTCCCACAGTTCAGAGTATTGAATACAGATATCTCTTAATTTCTGACATAATAGCCAATTTACATTATCTTTTTTTTTTAATTGTCTCTGGGTAGTCTGAAACATTCCCTACTCTGTGCAGATGAAAGCTAGCGTGGAATCAAGAAAGAGAACGAGGAAGTCTTTCTCGAACAGCTTCTGCATTGGAATCATGACCAGCTTCTAGTGTTTAAATAACCTTCCCAGTTTCTGCCCTCCTGGTAAGCCTCTGATCTCTACCATTTGTTTCCTTGGATTGTAGCTGGAAGAGAGTGTTCTTAACCCACCCTGCCACCTGCTACAGGACCACCTGCCCAGGTACAGTATGCCTCCTGGATTCTCTGCTCATTCTGGGCCCTGGCAGTAGGCTGGCTTCTCAAGGGCATTTGCACTCCTGGGGTGAGGGTGGGGTTGGAACCAGCTCTGGGGCCGAGGGATGGGCATTTCAGAGGCAGAGGAGTGTGCTCATGCCGTGTGCATTCCTCACTTGATCTGTGGTATTTTTCTTCACTAAGAATGAAGGCTTTGGAGTGACCTTCCTTAACCAGTGCCCCCTGCACTGAGGAGAGGCAGAGAAGGGCATGCACTGAGCACCAGCTCTGCAGACAGAAAGCCTCACATCCAGCACTGAACTCAGGGCAAGAGACCTGAGCCTCAGTTTCCTCCTCTGTAAAATGGGGGTAATGTTGGCCCCAGGTCTGGAATCCCCATTTCCCTGCCCTGTATGATAGGGGGTCTCATACCTGGGATCCTTGTGAAGATTCAGTAGATAATGCCCATGGAAGTGCTTCGTCAGCTACCATGTCCCAAGCAAACAGGAAGACAACGCCATTAAGCATCATTCAGCCGGGTTTCCCAAGGGGCCCTCCCCCTGGGGTTCAGTGCGTCCCCCCGACCTGGGAGCAGAGAAGTCACACTCAAGGGTGTTGGCGTCAGTCCTTGTGTGGGTCTGCTCCTGATGCAGTGAGGAGCCCGTCTCCCTGGGCAGAGCCGGTGCCTTACGTGCAAGCACCGTGGCACTGCTCACCCCGGGTTGGTGTGATCCCCTTGGCGTCCTGTTTTCAAGTTCCAACATTGCTGGCTTCTGAAGAAACTGGAAGTGGGATTGTTTCTGCTCAGAAATTAAAGTTCGAGGACTTATGGTTTTAGAAGCAGAGGGACCTGGGTTTTAGTCCCAGCTCTGCCCCTTTCCAACTCTCTGACCTTCAGCACCTGAGGACTTCTAGTTATCGAGCCTCAGCTTCCTCGTCTGTGAAATGGGCATTTTTACAGGACGCGCCAGCCGCCCCCCCCCCCCCCCGCATTGGGTTGCGTCAATGAAATGAGATCGTGTGTGAGGTGCTTAGCCCAGGACTTGGCACAAACTTGATGCTCAATTAGAGGCTACCATTGGTGGATGCTGTGAATGAGCCCCAGGTGTTTCCAGGATACTCCAGCTGGCACAACAGCAGGCCCAGGTGCCCAGAGTTAGCCTCAGTAATTTCTACCTTCGAAAAGTATACACGATACAGTGATGTAACCACCAAGTAATATATCATTTTTAAGCAAAAAGGATAGAAATCAGCAATTCTAATGGTAACCGCACTCAGCTGCTTATCAAGCCCTTTGAACACATGAAGATCCTGTTTGTTCTCTGTAACCCTGGGAGGGAGGTGATGTATTATGCGCATTTTGCAATAATCGGTAAGGAAACTGATGAGGAGCTCAGACATTGACTGTGATGTAGATAGATCAGACACTTCAGAATGGGCCCGATTTTAACACAGGCTGTGGTTTCCTGCGATTTACACAGGTACCTGTGTGGTTTCCTCTTCCTTCACCTTTGAAGAGGCATTACCCATAACGTGCACCTTGCATCCAAAAGCAAATACTGTCTTACCTGTTATGGAGTGTTTTGCTTCGTGCCAGGCTTTGTGCTAAGAGTTTCCGTGGATTAGTTCATGTACTCCTCACAGCACTGTAGAACCAGCTCAGTTATGATCACCCCTTTTTAGATGAGGATACTGAAGCTTGGAGGGGCTAACTGAGGTGCCCAAGTGGAGGAGGCCCCATTTATTAATCAAGAATCCAAAGGCTCGCTGTCTTGCTGTGCCAGCCTGCAGAGGCTGTTAAGAACAACCACGTGTAGAACTTAAAGAAGAAACAGCACCATCTGCACTGCAGTGTTCCCTGAGTGTTAAGACACCCATGCTGTCGCCTTGATGCTACTGAGATCTTCATCCTCATCAAGCTCGGGTCCAACACCTGTTGATCATTATGGCCACCTGGAACCCCTCCAGGCCTTCTCAGCTGCCATGGGTTATTAAGGCGTGTCGTGTCAGTTTGCTAGGGCTGCCATAACAAAATACCGCAGACCGGGTGGCTCAAACAACAGAAGTTTATTTTCTCACAGTTCTGGAGGCTGCAAGTCCAAGACCAAGGTGTCGGCAGATTTGGTTTCTTCTAAGGCTTCTCTCTGTGGCTTGTAGATGGCCATCTTCCTGCTGTGTCCTCACATGACCTTTGCTCTGTGCACATCCCTGGTGTCTCTTCCTCTTCTTACAAGGACACCAGTCATATTGGATTAGGGCCCCACCCTATGACCTCATTTAACCTTAATTTCCTCTTTAAGGGCACTATCTCCAAATATAGTCTCATTTTGAGGTACTGGAGGTTAGGACTTCTACGTATAAATTTGGAGGAGACACAATTCAGTCCACAACACGTGTTCCCAGTGTCAGAGCCAGGAGCCAGGTCCTACTGGCACATCCCGAAATGAGCCTGTAATTCACATGGGGCCTTCTCGAGCCCGTGATTGATGGAGCATCCTTTACAACCCACACCCATCCCCTCTTATGTACCTTACGTGCTTTCTTTCCCCTCTTTGCTACAGGTGTGGTGGCTAGTTTCCTAGAAGACCCTGGGAAAAGGAGTGGGCTGGGCCCTGGTGGGGCAGGGTGGCCTGCTGGACTCACCTCTGGCCAAACCCCTTCACGTCTCTGGGCTGATGTGCTAGGCTTTTAATGGGTGTCTCTCCCTAGGCCCTTGTGACTCACAACCCTGCCAGAATGGAGGCACGTGTGTTCCAGAAGGGCTGGACAGGTACTACTGCCTCTGCCTGCCGGCCTTCAGAGGGGAGGCTAACTGCGGTACGTATGCACAGGACTTCTAAGACTCTGACCGTTGGGGAGCAGTGGAGCATGGGATACCCCTCCTCACCTCCTACCCTTCCAGCTACTAGGTAGAAACCGGCCCTTGAGTTTTAGTGCCACCAACTTTCCAAAGACACCACTGATCTGCTGTCTCATGTGGTACAGCCTCTGAGTGCTCCGTGAATAAATAACTCAGGTGGTGAAGCTCTGGGCAGGACAGCTGCTCCTGGCATATTAGCTTTAGAATGGCCGCTGCTTAATATTTGAGCATCATAAGCCCAGCTGCTGGCTGGAGGCAACCCAACTCTGGGTCCTGGTTCTGGGTCGAGTCTCTTCTCCCCTCTTCCAGGAAGAGGAGCAAGGAGCCTCAACCCTTTTTGGTTTTAAAGGTATGAAATGAAGATTATAATAGGCTTTACCCCATAGGTTGTTGGGAGTTTGAAATAAGATTACATATGTAAAGTGCTTGGCACCATGTTTGACACATAGTAGGGGCCTGTTTAATAACTTTTTACAAAAATGTAGTGCTGGGTCAACTGGAGATCTATATGGAAAAAAGAAATCTTGACCCCTACCTCACAAGCTACATAAAAATCAATCCCAGATGGATCACAGATCTAAGTGTAAAAGGCAAAGCAGTGAGGCTTCTGGAAGAAAACAGAGGAGCATGTTTTCATGATCTTGAGGTAGACAAAGATTTCTCAACAGGACACAAAAAGCACTAACCACAATAGAAGAAGGTTATAAAATAGGCGACATTTTTCTTTTTTAAAAATGGTTGGGTGGAGACCCTTAGCAAGAGCCAGGAGAGAGCTCCGTGTCCAGCCCTGTGTAACTCTGTGACGAGCACCAGTCACTAAGCCCCTGGAGCCTCAGTTTCTCTGCCCTGTCTTCCTCCTGGAGGCCCCATGTGGTGGGGGGTGTCCCTGGTGGGACGGTGATCTGCCTGCTCCAGGTGGCCATAGCGTGACGGCTGCTGTGGATCTGGCAGCCCCGAAGCTGAGCCTGGAATGCAGAATCAACGTCCTCTTCCTACTGGCCAGCTCGGCGGGCACCACCCTGGAGGGCTTCCTGCGGGCCAAGGCCTTCGTGAAGCGGTTTGTGCAGGCCTCGCTGAGCGAGGACTCCCGGGCCCGCGTGGGTGTGGCCTGGTACAGCAGGGAGCTGGTGGTGGCGGTGCCCGTGGGTGAGTACCAGGACATGCCAGACCTGGTCAGGAGCCTCGATGGCATTCCCTTCAGTGGTGGCGCCACCCTGACAGGCAGTGCCTTGCGGCAGGCTGCAGAGCGCGGCTTTGGGAGCATCACCAGGACGGGCCAGGACCATCCACGTAGAGTGGTGGTCCTGCTCACTGAGTCACGCTCCCAGGACAAGGTCGCTGGCCCAGCGCGTCATGCGAGGGCCAGAGAGCTGCTTCTGCTGGGCGTGGGCAGCGAGGCCGTGCGGGCAGAGCTGGAGGAGATCACGGGCAGCCCGAAGCATGTCATGGTCTACACCGACCCACAGGACCTGTTCAACCAAATCCCCGAGCTGCAGGGGAAGCTGTGTAGCCGGCCGCAGCCAGGTAAGGTCCCAGTGCCTGCACCAGCTGGGGCCCAGCGTGCACCTGACCCAGGGGCCAGCTGGTCAGTGGACACCCTTCTTTTGGTAACAACTCAACCAGGGCCTGTGCTAGGGGCCGGAACCACAGCCCCACTCTTTTACGTACTAGCCATGTGACAAGTAACTTCCGTTTACTGATCAATAAAATGGGACTAATAATAGTACCTCTTGAAGAGCTTTTGTGAGGATTAAGTAAAACTTAGTACAGAGTAAGCACAGAGTATGCACTCGGGAAATTGTAGATGTCGCTATTTTATTATTATTATTAACTGTTATTTATTATTATCATTATTGTTAATGAGGAGCTCTGAATCTACTAAGCATGCTCTAGAACAGCAGCTTTCCAGCTTCTTTTTGGCAACCCACAGAAAGAAATGCATTCCCAGCACACACACAGGCACATGCACACACAACTGAAACAAACATTTCGAAATGATGCTTGTCCTTTCTACCTGGGACACGTGCTGACATTTTCCTATTCTGTTCAGTTTCACAACCCATGAAGTTGATTTTGTGACCCACCAGTGGAGAACACTGCCCCTGGGAGTAGTAGACATTCCCATCTGGTGGGCAGGGGCTGGCCCATGACCAGAGATGTAATAGCTGAAACACATCCTGGACGGGGCTCCCCAATTTCTCCTCTAGAGGGTGCGAGGGGGGAAGCTGCACGTGGAATTCAGCTCCTCAGGCCCAGGTGTCACTCACCAGAGGGGAGACCCTCCTTCCTGCAAATGGGAAGGTCAGGGATCCTCCTGCCCCTCCAGTCCAGTCTCCCCATGGCAGCCACAGTGGGTTTTTTAAAAATGGTTTTAGATTTACAGAAAAATTGTGACAGTAATAGAGTACCCACATACCCCACACCCAGTATCCCTCTTATAAGGTGTTAAGGTACAGTTGTCATAATTGAACAAATATCGATACATTATGATTTACTAGTTTTTTACCTATTGTCCTTTTTCTGTTCCAAGGATCCCATCCAGGATATCACATTACATTCCGTTATCTGGTCTTCTTAGCCTCGACTTGGCTAAGTTTCCTCTTGACAGTTTCTCAGACTTTCCTTATGCTGGAGTGGTAAAATCAGATCCTCTTACACCATACTTACACTTAAACCTTTCCAGTGGCTTCCCAATGCACTTGGAATAAAATCCAAACTCCTCCCACTGGCTTCTGAGAGCTCCTTGTGGTCTGGCCCCTGCAGGCCTCTCTGCAGCGCCTGCATGGGGGTGGGGTGAGGGGCAGCCACACGGGCCTTTTCCATGCTTGAGAAGCACTTGGCGAGCTCACACTTACTCCTTTAGTTCTTAGCTGAAATGTCACTCCTCAGAGAAACTTCGACCCCTTCTCCCAGTCTCCTAATGTTACCCCTCCTGGTCCCACTCATAGTACCCTGCTCTTTTCCTCCATGGCTGCTCACACAATTTGTAATTCTATGTTGGTTTCATGTCTGTCTCCCACAGACTGTCAGCCCATCGAGGGCAGGCAGCAGCCCATTTTGTCCACGTGGTATAAGTAGTCCCTTGTATACAGTGCAGGGCACGTGGACGGCGCTCAATAATGGGATGGATGAGGGTGCAGGTGAAGTTGCTGTCACAAGAGTCCCCAGAGCTCAATGGCTTACATACGATAGACATTTATTTCTCTCACATAACAGTTCAGAGGTGAGTGGCCTGGGCCAGCAGAGTGGCTGGGCTATCTTGTGCTTCCACCTCTAAGTCCAAGGTCACTGTTTATCAGCCAGCAGGAAGTGGGGAGAGGGGAAGTGGAAGGCAGGCAGCTTCCTTTCGAGGACTCAGAAACTGCACAATTATTTCCGATCACATCCTGTCAGGCAGAACTTGGACGCACGGCCACACCCAGCTGCCAGGGAGGCTAGGAGTGTGGTCTAGCCAGGCATGCAAATGTGATAATATGCTAGGAGAGGGTGGAGGACGGATACAGCAGTGGACTGACAGACTGGCTGACCTGGGCTCTGCCCAACTCTGAGCAGTCCCCACTTTGCTGGCCGGGTCCAGACATGGGGCAGAGCCTGCCCCGAGGCCCACTCTGCTTGCTCCCGCAGGGTGCCAGGCACAGTCGCTGGACCTGGTTTTCATGTTGGATGCCTCGGCCTCAGTGGGGCCCGAGAACTTCGCCCAGATGCAGAGCTTCGTGAGAAGCTGCGCCCTCCAGTTTGACGTGAACCCCGATGTGACGCAGATCAGCCTGGTGGTGTACGGCAGCCAGGTGCAGACAGCCTTCGGGCTGGACACCCACCTCACCCGTGCCGCGGTGCTGCGGGCCATGAGCCAGGCCCCTTACCTGGGCGGGGAGGGCTCAGCAGGCACCGCCTTGCTACACATCTATGACAAGGTGATGACTGTCCAGAGGGGCGCCCGGCCTGGGGTCCCCAAGGCTGTGGTGGTGCTCACAGGCGGGAGGGGGGCAGAGGACGCGGCCGTCCCTGCCCAGAAGCTGAGGAACAATGGCGTCTCTGTCCTGGTGGTGGGTGTGGGGCCTGTCCTGAGGGAGGCACTGCGGAGGCTTGCAGGTCCCCGGGACTCCCTCATCCACGTGGCGGCCTACACAGACCTGAGGTACCACCAGGATGCGCTCATCCAGTGGATATGTGGAGGTGAGTGGGAGAATCCACACCCTTCAGGGCTTCCTCCAAGGGAGTATACATCACTACAAGCATTGCGGCTCCTCCCAGCCACCGAGGGCTTTCCACGTGCTGAGTTCTGTGCTAAATCCCACGCTCACGTGAAATCCTGCGGTAGGCCCCACCATCTCCATTGGACCTTCAGGGTGCAGAGAATTTAAGTAACATAGACACCTCTTGCCAAACTTGAGAATTTATGTGCTCCATTTAAACAGAAGACATCGTTACAATCCCCACCAATCCCCAAGGGTGTAAGGACCCCAGGTTGACACTGACCTGGGTAGTGAACGACAGAGCTAGGAGCAAACACAGTCAGGCCAGCCTGACTCCAAGGCTTTCTTTTGCTAGTGACAGTCTTTCCACCTTTTTACAAGTTAAGTGGCTGTAATAATAAGCACTGCTATGTGTACAGCATGTCCGAGAGAACCTCCATATGCGTGTCAGAAAGCTGGGTAGAAGATGGGTCTTTGACCTAGCCAAGCAGCATGAAGCACCAATGGTGTGCTAACATGTTGCTTAAGGGCCCACAGAACCCCAGGAAGTGTAAGACACTACTCTAGTGGCCTCGCGTCTGTACTGGGCGTCCTTAGGGTAGGGGTCTTTGAGTCTGACCCAGGCCGGGCCTGGTGGGCATGTTCTCCCTTGTAGAAGCCAAGCAGCCAGTCAACCTCTGCAAACCCAGCCCATGCATGAACAAGGGCACCTGCGTCCTGCAGAAGGGGAGCTACCGCTGCGAGTGCCGAGGTGGCTGGGGGGGCCCCCACTGTGAGAACCGTAAGTGGGGCTCTTGCTCTGCACGTGTGAGCTGGGGGTGGTATTCTGAGTCCTTCCACGACCCAGGAACTCAGCAGAAGGCAGGTCCTGTGGCATTTGCTCAGTGGAAGGAATCATGGATCCATTTGTTCGTTCATGCACCCAACATTTAGTGGGGGCCTCCTACATCCCAGGTGTCGTTCTAAGTGTGGAGAATATAGCAGTAAACAAAACAATAAGAATCTCTGCCCTCATGGAGCTTCCATGCTAGACGGGGAGACAGTAAATAAGTACAATATGTAGTATAGTAGATGGTGCTAAGCACACGCTGAAAAATAATGGCGACTAGGAGGAAGGTCTCCTAGGAAGGCCTCAGTTAGGAGCACAGTGGATCCAGAGTAACTGGACGAAGACAGAGGAGGCAGGCACAAATGCAGGTAGGTGGGTAGATGTGGGTGAAGCTGGTGGGAGTTCTTTTTTGAGTGTGTCTATTTGCTCAGTGAAATGGGAGGAATGGTCATCAGCTGAGTGAGAATGGGGAGGAGGTGCTGGGGGTTTGAGGAGAGAAGTAACTGTCTAGGAGAGAAAGGGAATAGACTAAGGACATAGGGAATGATTGTTGGGCAGCATTATGGGCCCACCTGTGGCTCCTGTTCATGAATTTAAAGTTAGAATAGCCAGCAACCAGGAGATGACTCCCGTTGGAGGCTTGGATTTTCAGCTACCGGCAGAGGTTGGCTTCCTAAGGCTGGTGAGTGGATCTGAAGGGCAATCAGATAGGGCCTCTGATCCGACATCTTCTGCTTGGGTTGTGGAGTGACAGCAAGACATGCAGGGGCCCACAAGGCTGCTGGTTGGTTGAGAAGAGGACGCAGACACTCCTCATGTCCTCAAAATTCACTTCTTTCCCAGGGGCCTCGAGAGGAGATGCCCCCAAGGCACGCGGCTTCCACCAAGAGCCTGCAGGAAGGCAGCAGCCAGAGCCCTCCCAGCAACTGTAGAGAAGGCCTGGGCGCTGAAAGGGCACCTGCCCTCAGCAGAGCGTCCTGTCTTGTGGGGTCCTTTGAGTGTCTGCTTCCAGTTCTGTCCAGAACCCTCCTGCCCGCTTTCCTCACCCAGGGAGAAGAGGCAGCCCGACTGCAGACAGTGCTGCCTAGGGACACGGTAGGAGCTGATTTCATCCGCTAATGATGATGTTGAAACTCTTGACGTGTAAGTAGTTACTTTCTGTGCCTAGTTGTGCCCTGTTAAGCTTGTGTCATCTGCCACCTTTCTCCTGAGGAGGAACAAAGGAACCTGGAGACTTTTGATAGCCTCGTTGAAGCTCACTTTGCCCACAACAAATGCTAAATAGAATGTCATTGGGACAATAATGCTCAACACAAAGAATTGACTGGAGTGTCATTCAGACCACTGAAGCAATGGCATTTCAAGATGGAAAAAGGGAGGACCTTTTCATACATCTTTCCCCAAAGATGTCCTGGATGCATTAATTTTAGTTTGAAAAGGGGCTTGAGTGGCATTTGTGACTTGTTCTGGTGACTGATCTGTGTGTTGGAGACTTGGAAAGGCCCCAGACTGGAATGTGACCGACTTGCCGGCTTGTTTGACTGTAGGGGAGGGGCTGGGTGTGCAAACAGCCTCGGTCTCCAGGGGCCATGTGAAGTTGGCCTGGGTACTGGGCAGTGTTCCCTTGGAGGGGCTTCCTTTCGAGTTTACTTAGGAGGTTCATTGTGGGGTGTTTATTGAGGACTTGTCTTACTCTCCTTTTATGGGGCAGTAGAATTCTTCAACTCAACAAATATAGACTAAAGAAACTTAGAGGGATTTTGCTTTTGTAAGCAGTGATCTTATGGTGTCTAGGTTTTGGTCTTGTTTTGCTCTTTATGTCTAGTTTTTAAAGGAATATTTCAAGAAACAAGGTTGGTTATTGATTTCACAGGAGTATCTGTACCTAGATGGCAAAGAGGGTTAGTTGGAATATTTTCCAGCCAGCTAGGTCCTTACTCACCCTGCGGTACTTAGGCATGGGTTCTTGGAGGTGGTATTTCAAGTGGGGTTTTCAGTAGAAACCTTTGCAGAGCTCTAAGTCCAGACACTATCAGAACTTCTCTTTTTAATATAAATAATACCTTGATGTCATGTTTTATATGTAAACATTCAAGGCTACCTTGATTTAAACACCACTTAGCTTTAAGAACTTCAGGATTTCTGGTGCTAAAAAAGTACTTGAAGAGGTTATCACCATGATTTTGAGAGACATTAAAAATAAAAAGTCCACTGTACCAAGCACTGTGTCATGACAGTCATCTGTGCTCAATGGATATTTTAATTCCTATTATTACCCAGGCCTCCGCGGAAGGTGACATCAGAGCAGGGTCACACGCCCACCTGGCAGGTGCGATAGGTGATGTCGGAGAATTTACATGAATCCATTGTCTTTAAATTAACAGCAGTTTCATCATTTTATAGTGTCTGGCTCAGGGGTCCATTTGGATTACTTGGACTTAAACCCACAAAACTGTCGGCCCTGGGCTTACATATTAAAGGGTTTACTGTTTCTCTTTTTAGGTCCCAGCCCTTTATATAAATATGTTCTCCTTGTAAAAATTGAAATATTGCTGATATGCCATAAATCTTTTATTTTTCTCTAAATGATACTGCTTCCAGCCAACTTGCTGGATACTTTAGTTCTAATAAATAGTTGATTCTCTTGCTTTTCTAGAAAGATATCCTTTACAAACAATGACATTTTGTCTCTTCCTTTTGAAGTTTTATACTACTTTTTCTTGTCACCTTGCCTTGTCTAGGACCTCCAGAACACTGCTATAAATAGCAGCGGTAACAGCATGTGTCTGCTTCTGCTTCTTGACTTTAAGGGATTTTTTCATCATTCTATGTTATTATTTTTCTGTGGATGACTTTATCTAGTTAGGAACACTTATTCTATTCCTAGATTACTAAGTGTGTTTATTAGGAGTGTTGAGATTTGTGGTATGCTTTTCCACTTCCTTTGAGATGATTTTTTTTTTCACATTTAATCTGTTCATATGATAAATTACCAATTAATATATTTTCAATTGTTGAACCACCTTTGATTCCTTGGATAAACACTGGTCATGATACATGATTCTTTCAACACTGCTGAATTTCATTTGCCAATATTTTAAAGATTTTTTTCAGTTTTCTTTTGCAGTATGTGTTGGATTTTTGGTATCAGAGCTATGCTAACTTTATAAAATGGAAAATACATATTCTTCAAGTTTTCGAACTGCTATATTCATAGCATTTTACTGTAATTTAAAAAGTCTTATCAGTATCTGTACTTAAGCCTGCTTTTTCAGTTCTGCTATTTCATATTGCCTTAGGTTGTCTTTTTATTGTACTAGTCTTTTCAATGAGCCAGATTTTGTTTTTTTCATTTTTTAAATAAGCACATTTATACTAGAACTTTCTTAATTACTACTTAGGCAACCTTCCAAGTATTGGTATGTTTCTTGTCACCAAGAATTATCTAGGAACGTGTTTCACTTCTGGGAGTATTGATGTGCAATCACTTATTATAAGATCAGTTTCTGCAGATGTCTGCTGTGTATTTGGTCTATTGTTAACCATACTATTCAAATCCTCTTTCCGTCTTACCTATGCTACTTGATTTAAGGAGGCTTAAATCTCCTGCTAAGATTCTACCTTAATAGTTCACCAGTTTTTACTCCACGTATTTTGAAGTTCAGTGTGTAAGTAACGAAGATGTTTCCCCCTTTAGGTAGAAGTCCACCAGGCCCTGCCCCAAGTCATTTCATGAAATACAAGAAAAACCCAAAAACCCAAAATACAATTAATATTTTATTAAAAAAAATCTAACTCACCACTTGGTAAAGGGACACCAAGTGTTTATGACAAAGAAATAAATGCCCTGGGATTAGAAAGACAATAAGAATCAAAAGACCTTTAGTTCTCAGGAACCAGTGTTAGAGAACTCTATTCAGAACCCCCAGAAATGAGGCAGAGATGACAGATGAAATGTTTCAACCTGTGTTAAAAATCAATGCCATCAGAAGAGAAGACAGGGTCAGCACAAAGAATGGCACTACCAATTTTAAGAGAAGGAAGAGACCACCTGAAACAAAATTCACCTCTTTTTTCTTGGAAGGGGCCTGGACATTAAGCACACTTTAAAAAACAGAGACTAAGAGAGCATTCTATTAAATAACTCTTCCCTTAAAAATGGCCACAGGACTGAATCTGTAAACACGGGATAATCTTTTTTTCTGTGGTAACGTAAAAAGTCAGTTAAATCTCAAAAGACATTTTTCACTGTTCTAAATTACAGGATTTTAAACAATTTTTTCTATATACTACAGCATCACTTAAAAATTTATTTAAAAGCAATTGATTCAGGCCTGCTTTAGGCTGAAAGAAAGTCCTTAACTTAGTGGAGACAGTGCCTCAGCTTGGTCCCAAATATTTTTCCCTGTTACCATTTCTCAAAAAGCATATCATAGATGGTATTAATGCTGTTTAAAGTCATGGAAGACTGAGTTGGGCCTGCTAATATTGGAGAAAGAAAACTTGAAGGCAAGGAGAGTTTAACCCCCAACACTGCTGAGAGATGACAGTCAGGAGCTTAGGTCTTCTTGGTGACCAAAGCCACATGACCAGTAGGACAGGGCCCTGCTACCTCAATTTCTCTTCCGCCAAAGTCTCAACATCAGAAGCTTTTCACTACTTAAAAAGCTTGATAAAGAAATTGATGAAAACCTTCAAAGAAGAAACACAGAATACCCCTAAATACAGCAATGTCTTGTTTATATCCAATCAGCTTAGGTCTCCATAGAAGCCATTTTTTGTTGTTTTATTTCCTTTGGCTCTGAAAAGGGACAGAGCCTCTTCTTAGCCGAAGCACTCCATTCATAGTACCCCAGTCATGACTTTTCTTCTAAACAGACTCACCCTTTCACAGAGTTGCTGCTTTAATGAAGACTTGAACAAAGTAGGATTGTCTCCAAGGTCCATTTTGACAGGAGAGTCTTTAGATGAAGCTTGTTTCCTAACTTGCTCCTTTCTTCTCCCATTCCTAGGGTACCATCCAAAATACCAGCACCCCCCAAAAAAAGAAGAAAGTTAGTTATCTTCTATAGCAATCTCCACATACATACAGGAGCAGTTAAGAATAGAGATGGCAATTAAGTTTCAAGCCCTATGTGTTCATCACTGCTTCAAACAGCTGTTAAGAGATTTTGAGGCCGTGGCACAGCAGAGAGTGGGGCAAGTGGTGTCTGCCATGGCAATGAGGGAGTGGTGGCTTATGTGCCTGAATGGATTTAATAGTTAGTCATTGGTGCAGGTGCCTCAAGATATCTCCAGCACGTAAGCAAGATAGAAATAAGGAGCAGAGTTTGCCAAAAACAAAGGCAGCTCTAGGCATGTTCTTTATTGTACAAATGAGTAAAGGATTAATAACACTTTTCGTCTAGCCCTCAGGGAAAAACCCAGTAATGGCATCCATTCCTTGTTTTGCCTTACTGAGCCTTTTGTCACTAGTTGGCTGGGCCGCTTTAGGCAAATCGTGTCACCTGTCTGAATCTGTTTCTTTAGTTTTCATGGCAGAAGTCCTTCAGAATCGCTGACTTTTTGTTTTGAAAACTGTCCAGTCACAGACTGTCTGTGAACTGCAGCTATCTCCCAGGAATCTATGGATATTCGAGTGGTGGGCAGTTCAAGGATTCAAGTGTCCTCAGTCTGATTGGTAAGAACACTTGAACCAAGTGCCTTTCAGGCTGGTCAGGGCCCAAGAGTGAGGTAAAGCGCAGCAGAGCCCCAGCCCCTGGGTCTTCCTGCTGAAGAGCGGAGCCCCCACTCAGAGCTGGTGCCCAAAGCAGGCAAGTGCCACATGGGTCAGAAGAGGGGCCCCACCTTAGCTACAGTTCTGTTGTCCACTGATGGCCCTGCAGGAGGCCGGGGGTGACCACTTACCTTGGCTTTCTGGA